TCTCTGTGTCTCTGTGTCTCTGTGTCTCTGTGTCTCTGTGTCTCTGTGTCTCTGTGTCTCTGTGTCTCTGTGTCTCTGTGTCTCTGTGTCTCTGTGTCTCTGTGTCTCTGTGTCTCTGTGTCTCAATGTCTCTGTGTCTCTGTGTCTCTGTGTCTCTGTGTCTCTGTGTCTCTGTGTCTCTGTGTCTCTGTGTCTCTGTGTCTCTGTGTCTGTGTCTGTGTCTGTGTCTGAGTCTGTGTGTCTGTGTCTGTGTCTGGGTGTCTGTGTCTGTGTGTCTGTGTGTCTGTGTGTCTGTGTGTCTGTGTGTCTGTGTGTCTGTGTCTGTGTGTCTGTGTCTGTGTCTGTGTCTGTGTGTCTGTGTCTGTGTGTCTGTGTCTGTGTGTCTGTGTCTGTGTGTCTGTGTCTGTGTGTCTGTGTCTGTGTGTCTCTGTGTCTGTGTGTCTCTGTGTCTGTGTGTCTCTGTGTCTCTGTGTCTGTGTGTCTGTGTCTGTGTGTGTGTGTGTGTCTGTGTGTCTCTGTGTCTGTGTGTGTGTGTGTCTGTGTGTGTGTGTGTCTGTGTCTGTGTGTCTGTGTCTGTGTCTGTGTCTGTGTCTGTGTCTGTCCCTCCCGATCCGAGCCGGCACTATTTGTAGTCATGGGTTTGATGATCCGCGGCGTGTGTTCTGCGTTGACCCCAAAAATTGTGATCATCGTGGAATAAGCCTTGGTGGACCGGTTAACCATATATATATATGTATATAATATATATATATATATATATATACATATACATATTATATATATTATATAATATGTGTATATATATATATATAGCTATATATATATATATACATATATATATATATATATATATATATATATATATATTATTATATATTCCATATTATATATATATGTAAGTCCCACAGCCATTGCGAAGGTAAACGACTCTCAAAGCCATCGCCGGGTTCAATGACTGGAAGAAACCCTGTCGTTTAGGGTGACCCTAAACACATAGAAACAATTAATTAATTGCACCCTATACCACTATAAACCCTGAAAGCCTAAACCCCTAAGCCCCTGAACCCCCAAACCCCAAACCCGCAAATCCCTAAACTTTTAAGTCCCTCAACCCCAAACCCCTAAACCCTAAAACCCTGAACCTCTAAACCCGTAAAACCCCAACACCCTAAAACCCTACGACTTGTACATGTAACAGGATATGTACATGTGTACACACACTTTCCACGCTTCCCGGAAACCTGTACACGTACTATTTATAAATCATGATCACATTTCACTGCACTTGCTCGCATCGTTCGGTCGACACCTGTGCTGCTCAATGGCTTCCTGATCATATAATATTTCTACGGTTGCTGCCACTTTTCTGCAAGTAGTTTGCAGGTTGCACAGATTTTTTGAGAAGTGTTCGGGATCTGGAACTGTTTGGCGGGGTATCCAAGGCCACAGCCTTGCACTGCTGGACATTTGGGTTTGCATCTGCTCCGCTTTTGCAATTATGCATGTTCATATACGTGTTCGTAGTTGGGGCCCAGCATGGGGCACAGGGCTGCTTTGGAGATCCGAGGCCATAGCTTTGCACATTGCTGGAGATTGGATCTGGAGTTCACATCTGATTTGGGAGCCGCTTCTGCAAATACATACGTTTTCATCTTTGCATGCATGTGTTTGTCAGCAGTGCTCCATGTTGACTGGGGTCGGCAATCCTTGATGTTGACTGGGGTAGCTGAGGCTACAGCCCCGGCTATATATATGAGATGGGATCTGGATTTCATGCACATGCGCTGAGCCGGGCGGCACCTCTGATATTAGTGTTCCTCGACGGAGCTTAAGCTCTTCGTGCGATATCCGAGGCTACAGGCTTCCCTAGGCCGTGCAGTACGAAGTGCAGCTGGTGGCCGTTTGGGGCGGCGCTTTTGCAAATCATTTCGCTATCGACTGATCCTAAATCGTAGAAAGAGCAAGACAAAAGATCTATGTGTGAATCCGAGGTCATCGCTGCGGTTTTCTTTTCGGAGACCGGGTTGCGACTGGTCTTGATTGCTGCTTGGCCATTCTAACCCTCGGGTCTGGGTGTAATGCATTATGGGATCCGGATATGTTTCAAGCGAGGTCAGGGATGGACCGCGGCTTGGCCACACGTGGCCGTGCTGGTATCTCTCATGCATTTATAAACACACCTGCATGTACAGGGTTTTCATTCCATTTCATCCGGGTGCTAAGGCTTTTCTGTTGCTGAGCAGCTGGCTCATTTACGAGATACATCTGAACGATGCCGGTCGCCATCGCCAGTGGGCATTGATTCTGGGCTCGGTCCGTCCCGCCTCTGCTCCCTGCTGTCATGCATATATACGTGTGTTTGTGCATGCTTACCTCCGTTTCTTCGGACATTACAGATCAATTTTGTTGTGACCTGTGGGTGCCGGCTTGCCCTTGTTTGGGGCCAGAGCTCAAGGCCAGGCTATCGGGCATGGTTTCATAGAATCTTACATCTACGTAATAATTCACTGGGAGGCGTCCCTCCATGGCGGTGTCGGCGGCTTTTCGCATGGAGCAGCAGCTGCTACTCGAGGAGCAGATTCTACATGGAGTGTGTATGTCGCTTGTATGTAATAATTCATGATGGATGGCAGGACTTCATGGACACATGGATTACTCAAGATCCGAACTATCTTCTGAATGTGAGGAAGACCAAGGACAGGCTTTCAAGGCTTGTTTTCAGCTTCTGTGTGCTTGTACTTTTAAATTCATCGATGGACATGTAGGCTCGCAACCTTTTGAACATCCCGAGCTCCGGTGTCTCTTCGGCGGAAATGGCCGGGTGATTGATTTCCTGCTAGTTGCATGCATGCATGCAGTATCGAACTTCCGATTCCATTGAACAACCCCTGCAGTTGGAAGTCAACTTTAGCTTCATGTGCAACTACCTGGCTACCGTGGACTGCCACCTCCCGCTCTTCTCCACTCACAAGGACCAGTGAGCTCAGTGCATGTAACGACATTGTGTTGGTGAGCCCTCACCCCTCGCCTGTAGGCCGTGCTTGTAACGATGGCGAAACGGTATTGCATACTGCCGCAAAACAGCCGTCGCAAGCTTATCCGCGCCTTTTGTCGGCAGATGATGCATTGTTGTCGGGTTTTGCTTTTGTGCAGATTCTTGGAAAATCTTGCCGGCTATGTGTTGAGGCTTGGGCTGCGGCGGAAGCCGCAGCCATTCGGGGCATGGCCGTGCATGCTTTGCTGTTGGCTCGGCGGTCTGCTGGCTCGAAGTGTCTTGCCTGGAGTTATGTTCCACACCCGCACAAATGCATACACACATACATGTACACTTTCACATGTACACAATGTGCCAACACACTATATACATAAAGAAAAGTCGCTACCATCATCAGATCAGGGGTTCGAGGTCGATGGCATTCGCCTACTTATGAAACTAGCTGCCTTAACCCCCCCCCACCCCAAAACCGATCGTAAAGCAGTCACATACATTACTATAGTAGTGTCCGGGTGCAGAGTGGGTTTAAATCCGAGGTCGGGCAAGATCCGAATTCTCAAGGAGCTCATCGTCACGTCGCTGGGAAGCGGTGCCTAGACTTAAATATTATGTATATATATATATATATTATATATATTCGAAGCTTAATATATATATATATATATATATATATGCCCAAACCTAGGTGGTACTGATCCGGATGATGCCATCCTCGCCGAGATTCAGGCTTCGGCCCTCGATCGAACGAGTTTGCAGGACTGCTAACATATGATGTACCGTTAAGTCAGTGCTGCAGCTGCACTGACAGCGACATTTTTTTTGATTCCGCTTCAGGATTCGAGCTCGGCAGAATCCGCGGCTTCTACGCCACCCTCGGATGGCGAGAAAATCCTGGAGCACTTGGAGCTGGTCAGCTGGCGAAATTATCTGTTTTATCTCGATATGCCCTCCCGTACAGCTAGAGCATTGCAGCTTCAAGTCATCTTCCGAGCCGCAGCTGTAACTAACTTAATAATTAAATATATACTATATAATTAGTTCGAAACCTGATCAAGCCCCAGCTGTAACTAACCAATTAAATATAGTTCGAAACCTGAAGCCCCAAACTCAAAACCCCATGGCTCTAAGGCTTAACTAGACACCAAAAAACAATAATTCATGGGTCGCCCTCGGTAAGGACCTGAGCCCCCGCAGCACTGCAGTACTTTAACATCGGTTTATGGACACGGGTCTTCTGATTTAGAGATTTGGGGTGTGGCTACTGCTAGGGATCAGGGTTCGAATTTGGGCTTTGCTTTTTTTGGGTGCTATTTTTTGTAGAGGCGAAATATTCAGGTTTGGCTTTTCACTGCGGCCAGAGCATGATTTAGTTAGGCTTATGGTAGGCCCAGGGCATATACCTGGGACGACAAGGGCCTTAGCCTAGGACCTCCGTATATATCGATCTACTAGATAAAACCTGCCCTTTCAGATCACCGTGCAAGGAGGCCGATCCGGGCCAGTCGACGGCGGCCTCCGCAGAGGAAGCTTGCCACGCATGTATATACATATATTGCATGTCATACAGCGAATTTGGAATCATGCGACTGTCGTGGTAGCCTGGACCTAGGCTTCTTCTAGTATTGCATGTTCAGCTATTAGTATCCCAGGCCTCGGGACCGATCGTCAGCGAGACGGCGATCCCAGAGCTTGCTCCGGAGAAGGACTGCACTGCAGTTTTAATCAGATCGCCTAAAACCCCAAGGATCCGAAACATCAGCAACAACCCACAAACTTCACTCGACCTAGATCCTAGATCTCCCCAGGAGCCCCGGGCGCCGGTGCAGAAAGTGCCGGCGGATCCGAGTTCGGCCAAGGCAGTGCTGAATGAGCACACGCAGGACTTGGAGGATGCTCGAAAGGCGAATGCGGTCGCACAGCAGCTCGAGGCAGCAACACAGTAGGTCAAGTACTGGTGTGATGTTGCTAATCGAAATCGAATATTTATCGTTCGTTGGCTTGCTAGGTGCAGAAGGCCGCAAGGGTTGCCGCAGCCGAGAAGACGGTTGAAGCCGCAGCAAAGAGGGAGAGCAAGCAAGTGCAGAAAGGGCAGCTGAAGGAGACGAAGGCATCGGGAAAGGGTCGCGGACGCGGCCGGGGCCGTGGCCGAAAGGCAGAGCAAGGAAAGGAGAATGAAAAGGATGCTGGAAACAAGGAGGAGGATGCATTGGAGATGGAGGTGCCAAAGCCTGCCCCGAAGAAAGCCTCCAAGGCGAAAGCCAAGACCCAGGCCCGCCCGAGAAAATTCCACATTTCATGCGACTTACCTCTAACCCTCCCGCAGGTCGAGGAAGCCCCGTGCGAGAATGCTATCAAGTTCGACTGGGAGACCAAGGCACGACCCGTGTCTCCACTAGAGAATTCAGGTTTGATGATTTTATCCGGGCCCACATTCTGAGTCGAGGCACACATAATGTATTAAGCTAATCGGGGGTATATGCCGGGGGCTGCCTAAGCAAAGAATCGCTTAACATAACTTCGCCAAAGCCACTAAGCCAGAAGAAGTCTAACAAACCCGAAAGCCTTGAAAAGCTTACAACCCCAAACACTGCTGCCTATAACCTTGCAAACGTATACACAATACATGTGCAATTGACTTGCGATTTAACCTCAAATGCCCAAATCCCGAATTCATTGAGCCGCCAAATCCTTAATAAATTCCCGTGCAGCTTCACAGCTTGAAACCCTAGACCCAAACACCTAAATAAGATCCCGTATACCCTAGCACTCTGAAGCCAGAAATCCTGCATGCGCAAAGCTCCTATACCCCAGAACTCCGAAGCTTGCAATCCTTTTAAATGCCCAAATACCAATACCAGAAATCGGGGGCCCCTGACCCTAGAACTTAGAATCCTTCAAACCTATATTGTCTTGAGGTCAGAGAGCTGAAGCATGGTAACGTGCTGGTGCCCAAAGATTTCCGCGGCCAAGCCAAATCGTACACCCTGTCGCCGACTACTTACTGCATCGAGAGGGCCGATACTGCTTCCTCGATTTCCGTGCTGAGTCTTGTCTTAAGTAAATCATGCTTGTGTAATAATATATATGCACTGTAGCATCTGCAACGAACCGAGGTGGACCCTGAACTCACTGTATGTGAATACCGTGGTGAACAACAACCTCGGTGTGAAGGTCAATGCCAAAGGCGGTGCCACCTTGTGACTGGTTCAAGACGATGAAGGTTGCAAAATATCTTGCTGGATGGACGGAGGCTTTGCCTGCGTTTCAACGTGCTAAAGCATCTCATGTAGCACTGCCGTACACGTGTAATTAAATAATCTAAACTCTGAGGACCTCCTTCAAGATGGCTGATTTGGCTGCATGGGCCATGACGAGGTTGCCCTCGTTGCACTAATATGGGCAATTGTATATAATATATATATATATATACCAGAAAATACTCTAAGGCCTGGGTATTAATTGGACGCCAGCACTTACAGCTGCTGAGCTGCATCCTAGACATGGCCACAACAACGATCGGCAAGATTGTTGGGTTCTAAATTCGCTTTAACGAAGGCTCATTCGATATGCTCGGAATGAAGCTTCCGGGCGCCTGCTACTCGGTTGCACTTTAGACGACATGAGTGAGCTTGTGAGTGAGACCTGTACATGTGTGACGACACCATATGTGTGCCTATATTAAGGTCTGGATGGGATGCAGCTGCCGCGACCCTCCCTGAAGGGTCCTCGCAGCTTGAAAAATGACGTTGATCGTAAGTCTCACGAGCCTGGGACTTGAGCTGCTGACCATGCATCATGTACATGTACGTGGTACATGTAGTGCTGCCAACTTGTCGCTGTCGCCGAAAAGCTGGAAACCTTAAACCCTGCAGCCCAACCCAATGCCATAAAGCGATCCTAGATCTAGACTAGTCATTAAACTATATCCCTAATTAAGCTTGTCTCCCAATCCGATCCTCGCCAAGCATCCATGATCTGGCAACTTGTCGCTGTCGCCGAAAAGCCGGAAGCCTTAAACCCTGCAGCCCAACCCAATGCCATAAAGCTTCATTCGATCCTAGATCTAGACTAGTCATTAAACTATATCCCTTAAGCTTGTCTCCCAATCCCATCCTCGCGAAGCATCCATGATCGGCCGTCAGCATTCCCTGAAGGCGGGGACTTGATCTTTTTAGGAGGTCTGCAGGGTTTCGGCTGAGGCAGCCAGATTGAAGGTCGTTTTCCGATATCGCGGTTATAGGCTGGGCGGTTTGGCTTGGGAGCTTCTAGCTTGGTGGTTGGGGGCTGTTGGGTTTCGGGGTGTGGAGGTCTTCGGGCCTGGGGATGCTTAGAGTGCGGCTGCGATTGGGGCGACTGGTTTCGGGGATACGATGGACTTGGGGGTGTCGGTTTCCACGCTTGGGCTCTCGGTTGAGGAACTGGGAACTGCCCAAATCAGGCCCCCACAACCCGGCGCCAGAAGTCCAGAGGTATCCCCGTAACTTTTTTGGGTAATTAATCATCACCTAGGCCGTATAGGGTTTAGAGGTTGAGTGGTTAGACACTTTGACAAGCTAGCTGTAGCTATATATTGGGGGTTGGGCACGAGCTTGGGATGATTTTGTGCGGCTACCGTTTCGGACATAATGTATGTATGTATGTATGTATGTATGTATATGTATATGTATGTATGTATGTATGTATGTATATATATATATATATATATATATCTATATATATATATATATATATGTATTTAACAATATTACTCGCTTGGGCTCTCGGTTGTTTGAAGATCCAGGGTGTGTATATATGTATATACGGAACTTGCGAGAACGATTATTATATGGGCTTGTTCAAACAAGCCGTATAAATCGATGACGGAAGGGATGGGGTGCTTCGCCTTAACGCCAAACCTAAGCCCTGCAATCGTTGGAGTCGCGAGAGTCCAAAACCCTACATCCCGAACGCCTAAACCCTAAACCTTGATCTCCGCAACATCTGGCCCTCGACGCTGCTTGGGCTCTACTAATATTATAGACTTTTGGATCAGGGTTTAGTGTTTAGGGTTCGGGGTGTCGACCCAGTAGATGCATGAGTACAAAGCGGCTATTAAATGCAGCAGCTCTTCTTTTAAGCCCAGGTCCGTGGGGTCTATGAACCAAACTGCCTATCTGCTGGGGCGCCAATATACTAGACCCTGAACCTAAAGCTGTCATGCACGATCTGAGGCCACAAACTCTAAACACGAAGAGGCACTGAAATGAAAATTATATCGTATCAGTACAGATAATCAGCTAGACGCTTTAATGATCGGCTCTAAACTGCTGCTAGGAATTCTGTATATATGGTACATCATAATTTGAAGCCCAAACCATCCTGGTTTCCACAGCTAGCTGTATATGGTTAAAAGCCCCAAACCAGTGCCCAGGCTGCCCGGCTTTGTGATCAACCACTTCCTGCCAGGCGAGGGCTTCAGTTTCAACATGTAAAGCTTTAGGTTTTAGGGTCGTATGTAGGGCTGTGTTTTCGCGGTTGAGACCTTCGGGTTTTTAGGGGGTGGGCCCACGGTTCAGGGCTAATGCTCGGGTACACTTTAGGCTTTTGTGGCTTGTTGAATGTTTCGGGCCTTCGGGGGTTTAGGGCCTAGGGGCTTATATGGTAAAAGGCCTAATACTGGGATTTAAATTCAGGCTTCCATGTGTTTGTGGGTACTTCGGGGCCCCGGGGTTTTAGGCTTCATGGTCTTAGGAAGCAGGTTTACGGTTCAGGGCGAATGCTAGGGTGAAGCTTCCGGCTTCATGTTTTTGCCGGTTGTTCTGGGGCTTTGGAGGTTTTAGGGCTTGGGGCTGTAGTCGTTGCGATTTACGGATAGAAGGTTGAATAAGGCCTTGTGTTTTTGCTGGATGCTTATTTGGGGCCTGGAGGTCTTAGGGTGCGGGTTCACTGATCGATCGTTGGATCGTTGAAGCTCTGTTTCTTTACTGGTGGGTGTATTGCAGCCTCGGGGTTTAGGGCTCGGGGTTGTTTGTGTGCGAGGTGACGGATAGTCAGGTTAAAGGTTCATGCTCATGCTTTAAGTGTTGTTACTCCACGGTGTGGGGTTTGGGTGGCTTAGGGCTCGGATGGGCTTGGATTGCGGGTTTACAGTTCCCAAATCCCAAATTAAGGTTTCGGCTTGGGGCTCTTATAGGGTCCTAGTATTCATGAAACTAGTAGTAGCACTACTGTTACTGCTACTACGACTGTACTTGTACTACTGCTATACTACTTCGTAGTAGTACTACTATACTACTACTAGTACTACTAGTACTACTACTACTACTACTACTACTACTACTACTACTACTACTGCTACTACTACTACTACTACTACAACTACTTACTACTAGCACTACTAGGACGAAGCTTGTCGGAAGGTTCCCGGCAACATAGATGAAGATATACTGCGACGCGGGACTACTGCTCCGGGTCCATCTACCATGTACGATATTCAATAATGTTAGCAATCTGCTTCGGAGGGTGAAAAGAGGACCATGATCGGGAGCCGTAATCCAGCGACAATCGATAGCATGCAACCATGATGTAATGAGCACGTTGGGGTTCTCATCGGCGGCTCTTGTTCAGGGGCTTCTTGAGCTTGTGCAGGGGCTTCTTGAGCTGTCCCTGTCGACCCTGGCCCTTGCCATTCTGCTTGCCACCTGGTGGGCTCCCATGGTGCTTGCTCAGCACTTCTAATGCGTCAGGTGTCGATAGCTCTGACGGCCGCCTCATTTATCGAGGCCTGGCGAGGTTGAAAGCCCGGTACATCTCGGGGTCCTTAATCTCCCGCACGACTTCGGTGCGCTTGTGTTTCTGGTTATTCCTCAAATCAGGTGCAGGATTGAGGGTCCAACTTTAGGGCTGAGGGTGTTTCGGCTAGCTTCCATCTCAGGTGCAGGGTTGAGGGTTCGGGACACGGGAAATGGTCAACTGTAGGGCCCAGGGTCTTTCGGCTTCAGGCTTAAGTGTATCGAATAGCCCAGCAAGATCTAATGCGATCCTTCTGAACCCCGTGAACCGCCAGACCTAATCTATATAAACGATACCCGAAACAGGAAACCCTCAAGCATGCTAAAGCCCCTAATCTGTGCCACGGATATGAAAACACATCAATAATCCCCAAAGCTTACATATCTCTAGAAACCCTCCATCCTAAAGCCTTATATCGAAACACCCGAACACAACCTGGCTCGCCTGGTGAGGCAATCGCACTGCCTGGCATCCTGCAGGAGAGTATCTGGGGAAGTTAGGTTCGCTTAAGTGTACGATAAGCCTAGGACAGAATAAGGTTTAAAGTTCAGTAATCTGGCATGGAACATCTAGGGATAGCGAATTGTCTATGCGGTTCGGGGGTCAGTTTAAGGAGCTTTGGAGTTTGGGGTGGGCCCCCACTACAACCCCGGCTGGGAAGGTTCAATTACCCTTCTAATAGGAATGCACATTCAGGGGGTACTAATGTCAATCGTGATGCTCGTTCCGTGGGGTTCTGAGGGCTCCAAAACCAAATGATCACCCCAATGTTCTGGTGATCGTATTTAGGGTCCATATCATAAAGCTGAGCCTTGCTGTGGACCCTAGTCTGGCCCTTAGATCCTGCATCCACTATATGATTAAAAATACTGAGCCCTAATGCTTCAATATGTGTTCCCATATCATCAATATAAACCCTGCTCAGAACCCTATCAGAAACGAATCGCCCTTAAAGCCACAGCCTGAATCCTGCGATCTGAACCCTACAAGACTTCGACCACAGACTTTCCGAGCAACAGTGTACACACTAGAGTTTCCTCGATCATTGGTTTTGGAGCCCCAAACGACCAGGCGCCCTGAAGCCCAAACCCGTAATCGCTAAACCTGTGTTTTCTAAGCCCAAGGCTACTCTGCAATCAAACCGATGTGGTATAAGTCTCATTCAATTAGGGTTATAAGTATTATGATAGTTACCTACTTATAACCCTGCTTACTAAGTCCCATGATCCCCTGAGTAAGTCCTAGCTCTGCTCAGAGCATAGCATTATGGGATTCTAAACATGCACCCCAAAAAGGAACTACTATGGAGGCTATGGGTAATTGAAACTTAAGCCTTATAATCTAGGACCTGGCTAATCAATGTGGTTTTGGAGCCCCAAACGACCAGGCGAGCCAACATACTTGCAAGCGCCAAATATCGAAGCCTTAAGCCCTGAAGCCCAAACCCGTAATCGCTAAACCTGTGTGCTCTAAGCCCAAAGCTACTCTGCAAAACCAAACCCGACTTCCGAGGCTTGCAGATGGTATCGCCACATGTGTAAATACGATCATGTATTATGTTACACGATATGTGTTCTCTCTCTATATATATATATATATATATATATGTACATATATATATATATATATATATACATTATGTATAGCATGCATATATATATATAGTTATAATATGATATGCTAGTATATATATATATGTGTGTAAATGTATATCTGTATATATCTGTATATGTGTGTGTATCATCTATTTAAATGTAGTCCTACGTGCATATATTCGTATATATACGACTATGTTGACGGCATATTTATGTATGCACATGTATATGTATGTATGTATGTATGTATGTATGTATGTATGTATGTATGTATGTATATAGAGAATACTCGTGCGAGCAGCAGTATAAGGTTCGTATATATATATATATATATATGCTATACACAGACATATCCTACACTCTGCAGGAGTTGATATCGCCAGTGGAGGCATCAGGACTCCGCTGGACTCCGCTTCCGAAGAACTTAAGCTTAAAGTGCGACATTCCAAACGTAGCTAACCCCCAAACTATACTTAAAGTAAGGCCCTCCCAGTGTGTGAAGCACCTTCCAGCATCCGTTCCCAGCCTCGAAGCCTGCACAGAGGGATTTTAGGGCTTGTTTGGGGGATCATGAGTCGATATTATCTAGGGGGTCCGAGGGCAGGTAGAGCGTGATTTTGCGTGATTTGGGCGTGATTTGGCGTGATCTGTGGGCTGGGGTTTATAAGGGCCAGGAATCTTCCATCAAATTCGGGGGCCGGTGTAAGCGTGATTTCGCGTGATTTGGGCGTGATTTGGGCTTTCATGCAGCTGCCTATTTGAGGCTTTTGGTTGCATAGCTTCCCTAGCCGACCTCCGCTATGGCGGAATCCGATGCAGAACTTGCCAAGGCCGCTGATATCGGGGCCCAAATACCAGTAGCAACATAATTTAAGCCAGAAATCATAACCAAATCCTCAAGCACCTCCCTCTGCAGGTTATGCAGCAGGCTATGGAACGTGCACAAGCGAGGAAGGCATTGCTGAAGACTACGGTTTCCAGTGATGCTGGGGCTTCGAAAGGCCCACCGGTCGAGGAGAGCTACTGGGAAGAAGACTGTTGAGGCCACACCCTCCAAAGCTGCTGCCAAAAGTCATCGGGGCACCCCGATGACGGAGAAGACACCCTCGACTTCGACACCGAACCCTAAGAGATCCGTGGTTTCAGAAGATACACCATGCAAGAGCGATTTGGGGAAGACTCCGAAAAAGAGTCTCATGAGTGACTAGGCACCATCCAGTATCATACATGCCTTCTTATATACTCGAATGTTCCCATCAAATCACAAGCTCGCTTCGAATTCAGGTGACCTCAGTATGGGTGCCACGCCGCCTCCTTGGGGGCGACCCCGGCTCACGTGATGCAGGCCACTAGTGCAACCTCGCCTAAACAAAAGCCCGAACTGCCCAACTCTCCAATGCTACAAGGCTCGCGAAGCCGTTGCCATGCAGACCCTGAAGTCCCACGAGTCCTTCGAAACCCAGACTTCGAAGGCAGGGCCCGACCCCAAAAACCCAAACTCGCTTCACAAATAACAATAATTGCCCACACAGGACGATGAGGTGGAAGAAGACGAGCTTATGGCTGAGCTGGAGGACACGACTACACTAGTAGTACTGCTAGTAGTACTAGACTAGTAGTACTATATAGTAATACTACTACATGGCACTAGCACTAGTAGTACTAGTAGTACTAGTAGTACTAGTAGTACTAGTAGTACTAGTAGCACTAGTAGCACTAGTAGTACTAGTGATACTAGTACTAGTACTAGTAGTAGTAGTAGTAGTAGTAGTAGTAGTAGTAGTAGTAGTAGTAGTAGTAGTAGTAGTAGTAGTAGTAGTAGTAGTAGTAGTAGTAGTAGTAGTAGTAGTAGTAGTAGTAGTAGTAGTAGTAGTAGTAGTAGTAGTAGTAGTAGTAGTAGTAGTAGTAGTAGTAGTAGTAGTAGTAGTAGTAGTAGTAGTAGTAGTCGTAGGAGTAGTAGTAGTAGTAGTAGTAGTAGTAGTAGTAGTAGTAGTAGTAGTAGTAGTAGTAGTAGTAGTAGTAGTAGTAGTAGTAGTAGTAGTAGTGTACTAATAGTACTAGTAGTACTAGTAGTACGAAACAGCACGAGCTCTCGACCCGTAACCCTCAACCCTGAACTTATGCCAAAGCCCCGAGGCCGAAAATCGAGCTTTTGAAGAAACCCAAACTGTGATCGTTGAGCCCCGAAACTTAAAGAGGATAACACTAGTACTAGTGTCACATTAGGTGTAGCCCTCCAATTCTAAACGATGTCCCTATTTGTATGTATACCGGTTAATCCAAGTATGCATACACACATGCTTGGCACACATCCGATAAGCCCTTCGACAGGAGCTGATGATCGGAGATCCAGGTGACAAAGAAGCGATGGAGGGGCTGGAGGAGCTTCTGGAAAAGTCTTATGAGGGTCTGAGCAGCCAGGATGAGTCAAAGACGACGGCAAACCCGACGAAGCAAGTGCAAGTCCCGACGAGTGTGCCGCAGGAGACAGCAGACCCCGTGAAGCAAGTCCCGGCGAGTGTGCCCCGACCCCGTGAAGCAAGTCCCGGCGAGTGTGCCCCAGGAGACAGCAGACCCCACGAAGCAAGTCCCGACGACGAGTGTGCCACAGGAGACACCAGACCCCTCGAAGCAAGTCCTGACGAGTGTGCCGCAGGAGACAGCAGACCCCACGAAGCAAGTCGCGAGTGTGGAGCAGGAGACAGCAGACCGCACGAAGCAAGTCCCGACGACGAGTGTGCCACAGGAGACAGCAGACCCCTCGAAGCAAGTGCCGACGAGTGTGCCGCAGGAGACAGCAGACCCCACGAAGCAAGTCCCGGCGAGTGTGGAGCATGTGACAGCAGACCCCACGAAGCAAGTCCCGGCGAGTGTGGAGCATGTGACAGCAGACCCCACGAAGCAAGTCCAGGCGAGTGTGGAGCAGGTGACAGCAGACCCCACGAAGCAACCGCAGGGTATGTCAGACATGCCGATGATGCCACCCGAAGTCAAGGCTTGGCTTACCTCTATGATGACGCAGCAGGGAAACACAAGCACGGCTTCCCCAGAGGATCACGTGGCCGGGTTCATGAGATCTTTGTCTCAGCAGAGCCTGAGCTCCAATGCCACTTCGGCGCCAGGAACCCCCGCAACAACTGTTTCGAAGGAGGAGACACCCGACTACAAGGCCTTGAACGAAGCCTGCCAAGCAATGGCCAAGCAGCAGGCTGAGGCCGATGAGCAGTGTTTCATGTTAGAACTGTTCGTGCATGTATATTTAAACATCTCCAGGAGAGGGCAAAAGTCGCAGCCGAGAAGCAGGCAGCAGAGCGTGAGAAGGTTAAGGCCGAATGCTGGGTTTCGTTATTTTTTGCTGTATGGCTTAATTATTCTAAGACTACGGCAGCTGCGGGTGCTTTTTACCCCAGTGCTTCAGCAGAAACTCGTGAGCCTTCAGGCGGAGAGAGAGCAGTGCATCTGCGAACGAACAGTCGATCGGAACATCCCTCTCTCTTAGGGACATCAGCTGTGCATGACCGGACTGCGATCTTCAGATTTACACTGCTTCAAAACAATCTTTCCTTCCTTTACAGGAGACTCAGTCGCCCGGAAAGAGGCCACCAATCGCTAGCGACTTTGGGCTTGGTGAGGATATCCGCTCTTTGCAAATGGGTGGGTACCCAAACAAGTGGAGCCCTAGCATCATCGCAATCAGGAGTCTCTTCCTTCAGCGTCTGTCTCAGGCAGGCAATGTCTATCGCTAGCCTTCGGTCGGAAGGTGTACGAGGTAGTCCATCACGGTGCATGTGGTCGTAAAGGGACCGGCAGTCGGTCACTCCCAACATCGGGATGTTCTTTCCAGCATCGCGGGTGATCTTGCCAGTGAGGAAGGAGTCGATCATTGCCCTCACATACTGGCCAAGCTCGAAGCCTTCAATGCATCCCATGGTCTCGGCACCAAAAGTTGATCTACATACCCGGTCACAAGCATGGGAGCGCCATTCGAGGATGCTGGCCGGAGCTCCACTGGAGTTGATCCCGTCCTTGCCGCACAGCATGACCAGAGCGCCCAATTGGGAAGCAACGCTCGAGTTCCTTTTCTTGGTCTTCCGGGACTTGTTGATCCAGGGCCCCTCAACGATCAAGCCGGCCTCCTCGTCTTCTGGACACAGGAAGTAGACGGGATCCTCGTTGAAGTCCGGCGCGTTGCTCCATCCAGCGTCGTGGAACACAGTGACCACCATTTCCTCGAGAGGGATCTTCGCCAAGAGGATCCCTTCGTCCTTGTGAAGCAGCGCGCGCTTTGCCATGGTGTTCGTGAGCCGGACATCCTCAATAGTAGGTCTGGCTTGTAGTTGTTGACACATTGAAACCCCACAAGCCAAATCTGGCCTGGATTGTGAGGCCAGCCACGAGAGGGCACCCACCAGGGAGCGGTTGTCGGCGACCTGCTCGGCGTCAGCTAGGGCATCACCGGGTGCCTTCGGGTCGATGTAGATCTCGAAGAGTCTGTTGGTGGCATAGGAGGACTGGGAAACGAAGATTCCATCAGGCCGGGTCTCAATATGGGAACCGATAAAATCAAAGACATCTTCTTCCCACTCTTCGACAGGAAAACATCCGGAAAGTTGTTCTTGGACGGAAACTCGGAGGGCGTGGGGTCCAACAAGTAGGATGTCATCCACGTGCACAGCCGCATAGCAGATGGGACGCCCGTCGCCCCGTCTTCCTTCCTCGTCCAGCTCGATGAGCTGGAACACGCAAGGATCCAAAGGTGACGCGAAGAACTTCCCCTTCTTTCCTTCGGGTAGGTCGACGGTCATCTCCTGGATGTCCTTCTTGAACTTTTTCCACCACTTTCGAGGGCTGTCGATCAAACCGAATACCCCTTTCTCGACTTTTATAAGTTGATCTGGGTGGAGTCCGGGAAGTCCGTGTTTTGGTTGTCGTAGATATAGTTCGCGGTCCAACTTCTCACCGTTGAGGAACGCTGCGGTGACGTCGCCGGCTGCCACGCCCCATCCGGCGTCGAATTGCGAGGCGGCCAACTGAAGCAGTGTCATGACAGCCGTGCGGGACACCGTAGGAGAATCCGTCCGCAAAGCTCCGGAAACTATGTCCGGGTCCGTATGCCCAGACACCACAAGCCGCGACTTTGCCTTCCATTCGACCGATGGGTCGGTTCGTCTCCGTGCAAGGTTCTTATCGCGATATGCAAACCTCGAGGAAAGCACTCTCCCGGAATTGTCCTTCACGGCGCTCTCTGCAAGGCTGAGGGGTCGAAGAGCTCCGAGACGAAGATGTTCTTCCCATTGTTTGTGTTCAGCATCTATGAACAGTTGCCGCTTCGACTCCGGTATCATAGACCACGGAATCTCCTTCTCGAGCTGCTTGTCTCGACCGCGCTTCGTGGTGGCCCGCTTAAGCATGTAGGTCTCGTTGACGTCGTCTCCATCTCCGGGGCGGTCGTAGGGCTCTGGCCTTTTTGTAGAGAACCTCCTGCGGACGGCGCGGGGTGGATCGCCTCGAGAAGGTGCGGAAGGTTCACCCTCAGGTAGGTCACCATTATCCAGGTCCATGTCGCCGGTCTCGTCCTCGTCGATTTCTCCCTCCACCTCGGAGAGGTCCATCACGGCATCGAAGAGGTCCTTGTCCTGGATCTCGGCATCGTCCTCACCCGCGGAGTCGTCGTAGTTGTTCTCCACCAGGCGTAGTAGATCATCCTTCGTAGCGCGTAGTGCAAACATGCCGCCGACCTCCTCCGGGAGAGCCTTGCGGAGGTGTTCGGGAGCACACAAGTAGCAGCGACCACTAGGGGAGATCCAGTAGTTGTTGTCTTGTCGCCCAATCACAACTCCAGGCCCCTTCCATAGCCCGGTCTTCTTGTTGGCTGGCTTCCTCCAGAACAGTACCATGGCCCCGTTGTCGAGGTCTCGTGGTTTCACGCGCGCCCTTTGTGACATCCCTCTCCGGATCTTGTCCTCCGCGCGCGACTTGAAGAAAGCCATCTTAGCCGAGTTCCGGATGATCTCGCGTCGGTGTTGGGCCGAATCCGGGGTCCGAAGAAGTTCTCCTCCACCTTCTTCCACTTCAAACTTCAGGTCCTCGTCACCGCGGGGGTTCTTGCCGAAGACGATCTGGCATGGAGCCCAACCGCAACGGCGGCGAAGTTCATTCTTCGCGGAGGATGCTGCTGCGATGGCTTCCTCCACTTCGTCTCCTCGCACAGTCTGGTCCTTGACCACCCTCGCGAAGATCTCCTTCCACCACTTTCCGTGCCTTTCTGTAAACCCGGACTGCCAGTGGGCCTGTCCAGCGCTGGTGCGGAGGTCGATGTGGAACCAGTCGGCAAGCCGACCGAAAGCATCCTGGATGCCCCGCTCGAGGTCGAGAGTGATCACCTTCGGCGCTCCAAACACCTGAATCCAGTGCTTCACGAAGATCTTCTCCAGGACTGCTCCAGTCTGTCGGGGTACCTGTATCACGACTTGGTATGAGGAGGCGTGGTCGACAATGGAGAAGAGCTTGACCTTCTTGCCGTCGATGTCGTAGTCATACATCATGTCGACTCCGACCACATCTCCAAACTCCAGTAGCTTGGGTTCCGCCGCCGGGCGGGCACTCTTGGGTCCTTTGGTCCTCGCGCATGTAGAACAGGAGAGACTTTTAGCTGCCTTGATCACGTCCTTGTCGGCCCCGGCCAAATGCAAATGACGAACCAGGTCTTCACGGGCAGGATGTCCGAGGTTCTGGTGTAGTCGTCGTAGGGCAGCTGCGACATCCTTGGGTACTTTCTTGTCGAATGTGATTCCAGCTGCCCCTTCGCGAAGTTGCTGTTCACCTAGTTCCCTTCCAGACTCGCCTTCCGCCATGAAACTCGTAGAGGTACTTGGGGCAGAGGCCTTATAGCACGTCTTGTCATCGAGGATGAGGGTGTTGACGGTGCCCAGGTTCTTGAGTTGTCGTAGAACACGCCCTCGAAGGTCCACAGAAAGGTTATCTATCGGAACCACGACTGACCCATACTGCTGTATTTGCCATCTGCCACAAACGTCCACGACCTCGAAGAATTTGGCCTCCTCGTAGGACTCGTCAGGGGAGGCAGGATGGATCCATAACATCGAGGGCCGCGACTGGTTGAGCATCCTGACAACATGGCCTCCCGCATCGTCGTAGGGTATGTCTTCCCAAGGGATTGGCTCGGCGGTGTAGCAATTGAAGTCCGAGGTGGCAAGGAGAGTTTGCTCTAAGCCGCCAATTTCCAAAAGAGCCACCGATGGAAGGTAGCACCTCAGCAGGAGGTGCGGTCGTCGCAAGCGCCATAGACAGCGATGACAAAGACCAAGTGAGAAAAGCACTTGCACGGGCCGCGTTCCTCCACAAGCTTTTCCTCATGCTCTTCTTGGGTCGTGTAGAGGAGGAGGGAAGCGTTGTGGTCGTTTTCGTGTCCTCCCACAAAGGTATGGTTCTTTGGCTGGTGGAGTGGTCGACAATCTGCTTGCGATCACGTGAGAGATGTCGAAGATCATGAAGAGGAAAACCCCAGAGTCGTAGTTGCCGTCGCTCTCCTTGAGTGCTTCCAGCGAATCCTCTGGTAGAGAAAGCCGTCACAGACCATCTGTTGCCGCCATGCCAGACCTGAGCGGAGTGGAAGCGTTCAGGGCGGAAAGGAACCACGCAGCCAGAGGCACATAGCACTTTTCCACGCATCTCTCGCCCCTTGGGGTCCAGCATGATGTCGGTTCCTTTGACGAGTCCATTTTCCTGCCAAAGACCGCCTCCATCGGTAAAGTCGCCGGCACACGTGATGTAGTTGAGGGTCCCCTTGAGGTTGTTGAAGTCGGAGTGTACTCGGGGAGCGCAGTTGAAGGCGATGGAGAGGGACGACCATTTTGCCTCCGGGTGTTTCGAAAGGATGTATTCCTTCAGGTAGAGGCACAGCGAAGCATACTTGGAGGTATTCGCACAGATCCCACGCATGTTCCCGTAGGTGTAGTACCCAAGAGACAACCTGTTGCTCCCGGTGTCGTCTGGAGGTCAGAGTGGCCACGCTGAAATCCCTGTTCTTGACAGCCTCGGAGATCAAGTTCTCGACGTTCTCAGAAAGCAACACGTAGGAGTCCTGGTTCTCGCCCGTGATCTCGTCCCACATCTCCGCATCGTCCTCGTCGCCCTCATGGTAGGCAAAGGCCGCATCCTCGTAGAGCTCCTCGACGTCGTCCTCGCCCGCGTCCTCCTTGGTCTCGTAGGCCGGAACACTCACTGGGGACCCACCTGGTCCTTCAGCACCCCAAGGCGTTGCTCCAGCGCCTTGATCTCCTCCAGGACTTGAGAAGGAGGGTCCACGTGCATCCTCTCCTTGGCGGTCTCCTTCTCCACGGTGCGTTTCGCCGGCGATGCTTTCGTCGGGGTCTGGATTGTCGAACTCGACGGAGTCAGTGGCCTCTGGTCCTTGTCCACGGAGCTCATCGCCGACACTTCCTCCCAGGACCGGGACGATGCTGACCCTGGATAGGGAACCTTGGCATAGCGCTCGGGCTCCTCCATCATCTCGCGCCGCGAAGGTCCGCGCGTCGTCTCTTTCTCCTCTGTCTTCCGGCGGTACCAGAGGACGAAGCGCTTGAGGTCCGCACTCATGTTGATCCCGTTTTCGCGCTCCTCTCGGCACGCCCATTCCGCATACTGGCGAGGAATCTGGAAGAACGCATTTCCTTTGTAGCGGCCGATCTGCATGATGGTGTTGTCCGGCGTCTCGTGGTAGTCTCTGATGTGGCGCATCAACGTCCCCCTCGTTACCTTGGAGTCGTAGATCACTCCGATGCGGTCGGCCTCCATTTTGAGGTCTGCCAGCTTCATCCCCGACAAACCCTTCGGAACACCCTTGTCCGCCTTGTCGATCGCCTTGCTCTCGGTGATCGCGCTGCGCAGCTCCTCCACAGTCCACGAGGTCATCGGGTTCAGGTTGAGGCGGGTCGCTTCGGCAAGGAGTTCTGTTTTTGTCATCTGCCATGTTGGGCGCGACGACATCACCAGAGAGGCCGGGCGGAGTTCGAATTGGGGCAATCGGTCTACGATTGAACACTGTGCGGCCGACCCAGAGGCACTGGTGACAGTTCGAAGCTTCCGTGGGCATCGCATTCCAGAAGTCAACTGCCAAGGGGAGACCACGCTGTGATCGGCAACTGATGCTGAAAGTTTCCCTGATACTACCAAGAACCTTCAAGAGATTGTCTCGCAGCAAAGACTGTTGAGTGCCCCAATTCGTCGGACTGAACAAAGACTTCCGAGGAGTAACATGGATACGTACCATCGAACACGGTGTCTCTATCCAGAAATCGGACATAATACGGGTTTGGTTCCACCACTTCACGAAGTTCTCAACAGAAAGCGTCTCACTGATAAGGAGGTTCTTCACTTCGGGGGGAATCTTCTTGGCATAAAATATCTGGGGAAACAGTGCTTGACGATCTCGACTTTCAGGAAGGGCATTAGCAGCTACAAATGCTTCACAGTGACCCGCTCCCCCGCTGCAATCCGCCATGTATGCTGCCGAACCGAGAAGGATCTGTACCTCACCGCGGACGCACTTGTTGGCGTCCCACATGTCTGGCCGCGCTTGCGGCGGGATGCCCTGACCTCCGGGATGAACGCTGATTGCGGGATGCCCGGTAGGAGTCGAGAGCAGTGGATACCCGGTCACGCGCACGGGCTCGAAGTCCGCCTTGTGCTCCTTCAGGTTGTAGACCATTCCTAGCTCGGCCAAAACGGATCGACTCAGCAAGAGCGGGAGGTCCCCGTGGATGATTGCTACCTTCACGAGCACCCAAGAAGAACCCACCTTGAAAGAGACCACAATGGCGTAGTTAGAGGAGTAGATGCGGGAGGCGCCGAATCGGAAGTTATCAGACTCCCCCAACAGCGGAACCTCGATCCCGAAAGACTTGAGGACTTCGACGTATCGCTGCAGCCAAGAGGTCCCCGCCACTGATTTGGTACAGGCGCTGTCGGTGATCGCAAGGAGGTTCTCGCTCAGCGGGCCATGCACTCGTCATGAAGACCTCATTGGAGATATTGGCGGTTTGAGGTTTGCCAGGTTCAGGGTTTCCTTTCGGTTTGCCATTCGGAGGTCCAGGGCATTCAGGGTCCTTGTACCAGTGGCCGCGTTGCTTGCAGACACTGCAGAAGGAGCGTTGTTTCGCACTCTGGATTTTGCTTTCGATGGCCCTTCTCACCTCTTCCGGCTCCAAGTTGCGACCCTTCACAGCATCGCGGTACTGGGCCTTGGCAGTCATGAACGCCTCGTAGAGCTCCTCCTCGCCCGGGTTCTGGGGCACCTCAGTCTCGAGATCTTCATCGTCGTTCTCGCCTTCCTCCGGGATGGGCTCCGCATTGTTGGCAGAGTTCACCTTCAGGTTGTTCTTGGAGCGATCCCACGGCTTCGGGTGGTCCTTGTCCCAGGGGCGGCGAAGACTTTTCTCGTGTAGAACCGCAGCACGTTGTAGCCTGGAGCACACGAACTCATTGTTCACGCTGCCGAGGATCGCCAGCTCCTCCGAGTGCGACAAGGAGAGGGCGCTCAAATATGCCCAAGCTCGGGCCGTCTCAGGGAGCTTGCATTCGATCTCAACCAACCTCGCATAGGCCCGATCGAAGGTCGCGTTGAACTCTCGCACTGACTGGTTGGGGCCCCGACGTAGCTTCCTGAAGAAACCGTTGAGGGCCTCTGCGATTTTGCCCACCTCGATCTCTTGGTAGCGCTCCGCAACCCAGGCCTTGAACTTCTCCACGCCATCAGGTACACAAAGTTCAGCGACCTCAAGTTCCTCAGCCTCGATCCACGCACGCCCCTTCAAGTTCTGGTACAGCAGCAAGGCTTGTTGGGCACAGGGAGTCCGGGTGACGCGGACCCATGCCTCGATCTGCCTAATGTAGCTGCGAGCAGACAGACCAAGTTCGTCACCGTTGTTGTCCGCAGAGAAGGAAGGCACAGACATCCTTTCACTCAGAGCTCCGCGACGCTCCCCATCATCGGAAGAAGGTGGCCGGGACGGATTCCCGTCTGAGGTCAAAGATCGCTGCTGCCAGGCATCCCCGGAAATGGCATTGCGATTCCAATCCATCTCCCAAGGATTGTTGGAGGAATTCGTACCGGTAGAACGGGTCCATTCGGTCTCCCATGGCGTGTTCGGTCCCAGAGGTAGAACGGGTCCACGAAGTTTCCCATCCGCCATCTCCGGGAGCACCAGGCGCAGCATTCCCAGACCAGGCATAGCCATGATGATATCCAGAGTTCCATCCGGACGTCCACGAGGTCTCCCACTGAGAGCTGTCGGGCCAGGCACCGTTCCAGGCATGCTTCGTAGGATCGTAGTGCCCCCACTGAGGCTCCGCTCTCCACTCACGGTCCTCCTCCGGTTGGTTGCCAGAGGAAGTAGGCTCGCTCTTGACATGATCCCTGTCAAAGGCAGGGTCCCCATTCGCATTCTCGGCGTCCTCGCCCGAATGCTTCCCTTTCCGCCAAGCACGGCGGGTGCCACCGCCGTCTTCACCGTGTCCGTCAAGAGAATCAACGTCACCAGGAGGATGAGCAGCCCGGGCGGCTTCCGCCCAGGGATCTAGCGGCGCGGCCGCGCCATCACCATCACGAAGTCCGTCGCCTGGCGAGGAAGACATTAAGGAGCCCTAGGGGCTCCGCTACCAATCTAAGACTACGGCAGCTGCGGGTGCTTTTTACCCCAGTGCTTCAGCAGAAACTCGTGAGCCTTCAGGCGGAGAGAGAGCAGTGCATCTGCGAACGAACAGTCGATCGGAACATCCCTCTCTCTTAGGGACATCAGCTGTGCATGACCGGACTGCGATCTTCAGATTTACAATTATAATAAGGTTTTCTCTCAGTCGTCTGCAGGCGAACTTGCAAATTCTGAAGTCGATGATGCCGGAGGAGCATTACAAGGAGTTGGAAGCCGAGGACTGGCTGATTCCATTATCGATCGAAAGTAAAGCATATATATATATATATATATATATATATATTTTTGTATAAGTATTTTGTATATATGTACATGCATCTATATATGTAGTGTATACATATACATATATATATATATGTATGTATTATGTCTGTATATATATATATATGTATAGGCCCAAACCCGAAGCCCTAAGCTTCACTCTCCATGATTGATCGACAGATCAGGAAGACGAGAAGAAAAAGGAGCGGCGCAACGCATACATGCGGTTCCACCGCATGAGAAGCAGTGCCCTGGACTGCAACAAAAAACCCCAAACCCGAAAGCTTCAAACATAAAAAAGCAATGCATGCTACCTCACTTACGCAAGCCCGGCCCTAACTACAAACTGGCTGACTTGGCCTTTAGTCTTGCACTTGAAACCCTATACTTGCAAGCCCAGGCCATGAAGGGTCGCAATGCCCCCCATATCCCGATATTCGTTCAACCTTTAATTCGAGCTGCCCAACAACCCTGGAATCACCCAAAAAATATCCTGAAGCCTGAAGCTAAAACCCCGTGGTGGCCGAGGTCCCAACGCCCCGCAGGCAGTCATCGATGCCTTTGAGAAGTGCAAGGATGCCAGCGGTGGCTCGTTTTCTGCTCAAAACCCTAAATAAACCCTAAACCCTAAAGCCTAACCTCCCTTCATAACAACCCGCTAAATAACCCTAAATGCGTGAAACCAGTGATCCCTGAGTACAGATACCGACATTCTGACGACCACAGGCTGTTTTGGCTGTAAGGAAAAGGATCTGGAGGCCCATTCGGTGGGGTTTCTTTCATTCGTAAGCCAGTAAACTTTCTTGAAATTATCGGGTTCACATCATTCGGATTCTATACTTCACATAGGTTATCAGCCGTAGGCGGCTCTAGTTTGAGTGTTGTTCAGGGCTAGCAGAGTGTCCGTAGTCGGCAGCGGATGGAGTCAGTCTCGAGGAGGCGAAGGAATCCTCCAGCTGTCGAGCCGGAAACTGTAGCTTTGGAAAGAGACCAACAATATTCAACAGCCTTGAGTCAAGCTGGAGGTGACTTAGGTGTGCCACAAGGTTTGCGGAACGCTGATGCGTCCCCTGGCGCGCTGGAATCAGGATTGGCGGCCAGTGGGGCAGGAGCAGAAGCTGGAGCAGCTTCCGGAGGTATCGCCGCGGAGCCACTTCCAGTGGCCCATCCCTTTCACAGTGACTATGTTCGAACGGAAGCTGAACTGTTGCGTAGCAGACCTCTAACTCTGGACGCAGATGCCAAGAGACTGGGTTCGGAGGTTGATGATAGTGGTCTTAGTGATCGGGATTTTGGAGAGGGCTCGAGGGAACCTGACTATTCCAAGTCCTTTGGGATGCAAGGGGCACCGAGAGTGGCCAGGGTTGAACCCAGCTCGGAAGAAGCTCTGGGAGGGACAACGTTGGATCAGCAGGCGCCCGAAGAGATGAAGTTGAAGGCTAGCTCACCTAGCGGGAAGGGGCGTGGAACTGCGGGCTCTTCGGCTGGTGAGGGTTTGGTGAGACCTACGGCGTTGGGCCCTGAAGTCTTGGGTCCAGTGGCGGAAGATAACAGGGAGTTAGTCCCAGATGCTGGGAATGTAGAGGGGGATAGGTTACAGCGGATGGAATATTTGCTTAATCAGTTTATGGAGGAAAACAAGGAGTTGAAGCGTAGGCTTCAGTCTACTGAGTGCCATTTGAGTTGGCATAGTCAAGGTACTAGGGGAACTCCGCTGGAACCTGGCCCTCCTATGTCCCCAGTGTCATTTTCCTTAGGGCACCCGCACTTGGAAGCGATGCCTGTACAGTTTCGACCGCCGGCTGTAGACCCCAACTTGAGGACTGATTTCCCGGGCAACTTTGGGCCTCTTAACTGGGGAATGCTAGGCTTTAACCCAGGGGTGATGGCAAATCCGCCCTCTCTGGGAGGAGCAGGTCTGGTCCAGGCCCAGTCAGGGATGTCGCACGGGGCTTCGATTGAAGGGATGCTGGGTTCCGGTGGGATTGAGAAGGAGAGATTGGTAGAACAGTTATCTGCTAGGGGTGCTGGGGTCGGTGCTAGACCTAGGCCTCCGCTTTCGCTGCCTTTACAAGATGCTGTGGCATCCGAGCAGGGGACCGCGGTTTCACAGACCATGCGCCAGTTTGCTGCTGAAGCTCTGGGTGGAGGACCTCAAGGTAGTGGGGCCCCTGGGTTTCATACTCCTAGGAGTTCGGGACCTGCGTATCCGGTCTCTCCGGGGGGAACGGTTATTCGTCCTCGACCTGGACCACCGCCGATGTCTCCGCGTGTGTCAGTCGATCCGGGCCTTAGTTCTGTTGGGACACGTGAGGCTTCAGGGCTTGGGGGCAGTGTGCAGGTTGGTAACGTCCGGCCCGAAGAGCCTGCCAAGTACATTTCAGATCTACCCAAGTTGGTGCAGGCGGACCTTGCTAGCTCAGCGGTTGTGTGCGGAAATTGGTTGGCTCAAGTAAGACAGGTGTTAGTGGGGTTGTCCCCTAGCGCTGGGGTCTGGTGGAAAGGAGTAGAGGGTCCGGCCACTTTGGCGTACCAGCGTTGGCTAGTTGCTGATCCGTTAGGAAGGTTGGGGATTGATCCGTCTATGGTCAAGGGCGAGTTCGATGCTAACCTTTACGGTAGGGTGGAGTCTAGGGCGGTGAGCTTACTATTGGCCGCGGTACCGCAGTCTGTTCGGGATGACGTGGTGATGAATAGGTGGCTGTCTAGTGCCGGTATTCTGTTCAGGGTGCTCTGCGTTTTCCAACCTGGAGGTTCGAGTGAACGTTCTCATTTGTTGGCTCAGCTCGTCGGCCCAGAGTCGTGTAAGAGCTTCGTCGATGCGATAAAGACATTGAGGAAATGGAATCAAGGGTTACAAAGGGCAGGGGAAATCCATGCGACCTTGCCAGACGCATCTTTGCTACTTCGCGGGGTGGATAATGCAACTGCTGGACTGTTGAGTGCTCACCCTATGATTGGGTTTCGGGTTAACGCGTTTAGACACCAGTTGGCTATCGATTATAACCCGACTACCGCGAGCGTGGTGCAGCTAGTGAAGTTAATCCAAGCGGAATGTGAAGCGGCGTCGATAACATCGGAGAGCGCTGTAGACAAGAGAGCAAGAACGGCGGCACTTAATGCGAACCGGGATCCGCCGTTGGTAAAGGCCCCACCTACTCCACCTCCTCCTCCTCCTACTTCTAATCCCCAGGTTGCGGCGGTAGCTACAGGCCAAGGGGAAGTGAAGGATAAGGGTAAGGGTAAGGGCAAGGCTGATGATCAGCCCCTGTGCCATAAGTTCTCGGATGCGACGGGTTGCCGTTTCGGGGATAGTTGCCGGTTTAAGCATGATAGGTCCAAGGCAAGGCGAGAGAACAGGTGTTTAGCTTGTGGCCAAAAGGATCATATCCGCCCTAACTGCCCGTCGGTGGCGCCTGAGAATCGTGTTGTGCCTGACCAGACTTCGTCTGCTGATGGATCACCCAAGGGGGGCCAGCCTGCAGCGAAGGGAGGAAATCCGAAGGCGAAGGCCAAGGCAGGAGCACAGGCGAAGGGTATCACTGAGATCGGGGCAGAGGCTTCAGGTTCTGGTGGAAGCTCGATATCCTCTCAAGCTACAGGTGGGCCTGATGCCTTGATTGCCGAAGCAGCAAAGCTGCTCAAAGGGGTCTCCTTGAAGCCTATAAGGCTTAACGGGGTTGGGGATTCAGGGTTAGGCGTTGAGGGTCTAGTTGACGCTTCGTGGTTGTTGAGTGCCATAACCAACGTCTCTGATGAGAAGTTCGCCTTGGTAGATAGTGGAGCAACCAATGCCCTTAGGCCCGCTAATGTAACGGAATTGGAACAAGGGAAGGCGATTAAGGTCGACCTAGCTAGTGGGACTGCTTGTTTGCGAATCAACAGCTATGGGACTTTACTTCATGAGGGCCCTTGTCAGGTCATCATCCCAGCGGCGTACCTAATTGACCTTGGTTACACTATAGCCTGGAAGAAGAAGGGCTGTAAGATCCGGCATCCCAGGAAAGGGAGCTTGGAAGTAACCGTTGTTAAGGGGTGTCCGCTGGTAACTAGGGATGTAGGACTAGGGATCCTTGCGGAGTATGAGGCGTGGAAGGCAAGCGGGGCAGGTTTAAGAAAGATCAACGCGTTGAGTCCCGAAAGGAGTTTGAGCCCTGGTGAGACTAGGGTATGGCTTCGTGATAGGCTGTTGCAACTTGGAGGTTCAGGATTGGGCGAGGTAGACCAAATTACCTTCTTGGCAGGACTATTCCCCAAGGTTCCTTTAGGGTTACTGGCGAAGGTGTGTGTTCCACCGGGCAGTGGATCCGGGGGTGACGGGGGTACTGGCCCCTGGAATCGCCGATTGGGGCGATCTATTGCTCGAGCGGAGCCAGAATCTGTTCTCATTTACGCATCTTCAGTGAAGAGGAGTGTTAAAGGTTGGGGACGAGTTGTGCCGGTGACGGGTACGGATAAGGGGATTGAGTCGGCTAGGGTGTTCCAGCGGTTACTTGGTTGGGCCGAGAGTGGGGTAGTAGGCGGTGTTATTCAAGAGGCGTTGTGGGATCCAGAAGTTTTGCATCCAGGGCCCGGGGGTACCTTGAGTAGTTGGGATGTGACGGGTCTTGAAGAGTCGGATAGGCTTAAGTTCGAGGCTGGGACGGTAATCGGTTTTAGAATCCTTCTGCTAGCGGCAGTTGCCCAAGCTGCACGAGATGTGCGGGCATGGAAGGGCAGTGGGGTTCAAGAGAAAGCGCCGTCACTTGAACTAGCTGAGGAGCCTCCTGTAGGAATGACTGATCCTTATCAGATAGCATTGTGGGCCCTTGGAAAAGCGGCTAAGCAACGGGAGTCTCAAGCGAGTTCAACTCCTGGTAGTGTTGAAAGCGTTGGTCCGATATTTCTGGTCCTCGAAAGACCATCCGATCCGCGAAGCCTTGAAGGGCATGATAGGGCTAGTCATGGGTGGGCTCGTGTTGAGCTCGAGGCGTTTCGGGAGGTCTATGGGTTAGAAGAGGCTAGCTTTGACCAGGGTTGTCTAGGTGCGGGGGAGATTGGTTGTACGTCGCTGCTCACCTCTTCGTGGGCACTCTACGAGGGACTGCACGTAAGGAGGGTTCAAGGGGAACTACGGTCGTTCTTTCAGGGACTTGATAGCTTGAGGCGAGTTCTGGGGCAGAGTTCCGATCCTTGTTGGGCCAAAGGGTTAAGGAATGCGGTTAGGACTTGTTGGTTGGATTGGAAGTTTGAAAGGGTCCAAGGAGAGGTGATTGAGGAGCGCAGGCTTGTTTTGTCAAAGCTTACCGAGGCTGAACAGTACGAGCTTCATGTGGCTAATGGTCCCTTACCGAAAGGGGTGCCCTATATGCGCTAGTGCTCAGGGTAGACAACGGTCCCATTGGCGTAGTGGGTTTCCTGGTTTGCACTCGCTTAGTGCAGACATTGCAGGGCCTTTCATTGCAGGACAGTCCTATGATGTTGAGGCTAGTGGTCGAGATAAGGGGGAGAACTATAGGTATATGCTTGCGGTAGCATACGCTGTTCCAGTGAAGTTTGATCCTTCTGCAAAGGAGGACGAGTTAGCGGAATACGAACCATCAGATTGTGAGCCCCTTGTCCCGGCGACAAGGGAAGAAGAGCCAGTGGAAGCATTGTTTGATGAGCTTTGGAAGCTCCCAAGTGAGGTTGAGGATGCAGATTCGGTGCTAAAGGTTGTGGACCGTAGGGTAACAGGTAAAAGGCCTGAGAGTAGACCGGAGGTAACTTCTGCATCCTCACCCAAGCTTGAGGACGATGGTAAGATGAATGGACATCGGACTTTGTTTCTCGGGGTTCCGTTGAGGACCAAACGAGGGCGTGAAGTTTTGTTGCAGATTCAAGGAATAGTGAATCGTCTTGAGTCGTCGGGCTACCCCGTTCAGAGGTTTCATGCTGACAGAGCCAAGGAGCTTCGCTCCTCGAGTTTGATTGCGTGGCTTAAAAGCCGTGGGGTGCATACGACTTGGACTGCTGGCGAATCGCCGGTGGGCAACAGGGCTGAGCTCTCGGTCCAAAGCCTAAAGGCATTTGTTCGGAAACTTCTTTTTGCATCGGGCCTGGAGAAGCTCTATTGGCCTCTCGCATTACATCATGCTTCTGCGCGCAACTGGTTGCTCTTTAATGAGGCTGTAGGGATTCCCCAGGCACCCATGTTACCATTTGGAGTGCGCATTCTTGCGCGGCGTCGGTCCCGGACTGGGTATGCGGCTCAGTGGGAGTCGAGAACCATTGAGGGTCGATACCTAGGGCATGCGCCGAATACTCCCGGGGGTCACTTAGTCTTAGTGCCTTCCGGTGACGGGCATAAGGTTCTTCTTACAAACACTATTTACCCGATTCGGGGTGAGGCTGCTGCGGTGCGCAAGCCCAAATACCGCCTAACGAGCAAGAGCAAACCTGTCTTTGCAATTCGAGTTGCTGCTGCGGCTGAAGTTGCCGACTGGAGCAACGGTGGTAAGTCCGAGCAAAAGACCAGGTTTGCACCTGGGGGGGAGTCCTCCTCTTGTGTTGACTTAGGGGTTTTTGAAGAAATTCAGTTTGAGAAAATTGAGGATTTTGAGGGTGTTGATTCCGAAAATGGCGATGAAAGGGCTGAGCCTGAACCTGCTGCGGTAAAGGATGGTGTCCTTAGGGTCGGGGATGAAGGCTGTGGACCCGAGCCATTGGCCGATGGGTTGTTTGTTGAGTTATTAAAGTGGAATGGTACCGACGAAGAGTGTCTCCTGTGCGCAAGCAGACCTGTTCCGATTGAGAAGGGTTTGGATCTGTGGATAGCAGATAAGATTGCTGCCGGAGAATTTGATGATGAAGCATGTGCGGAAGTGTTAAATCGTGCTTTTGGAGATTTGCCAGTAGCTCGACGACCAATGCTGCAAGGAACTGGTCAGGCAGTGGTGTTGGGTCTTTATGGGCTAGGCGGTTTCCATGGTGTGTCGAAGGCCACCGAGTGCTATCAGAGTGTTGCCCGATATCTAAATTGCTTCTTGAAGAGACAGGATCCAGAGCATTCTTGGACAACTATCTATGTGTCTCGAAACACTCGTGCACCCATCCATCGTGATCTCGGGAATGCGAGGCAGTTCCCAATCCTCGTTCGTGCGTTAGGGGAGTTTATAGGGGGAGGGCTATGGATTGAAGGGGACCTTGGACAAGGCCCGGTATGCAAGTTCTTGCCGGATGGGAATCGCCGGGCGGGAAGTGTTCATGATATCCATAGTAAGGCCGTGTCATTTGCCGGAGGGAGGTGGCATGTCTCCGAGCATTGGGAAGGTAAAGTAAGATGGGTGATGTCGGCGTTCACCCCCCGGGACTTTCAAAGGACAGAGGGACAGGATTGGGAAAGGCTGCGTAGTTTGGGGTTCCCAGTTGACTCCGCGATTGAAGCATCGTACAATGATCCCGGGGACCGGACAGGTTCCTGTACTGGGTCTAAACTTGCGGATTCTCGGAGTGGAGCAGAGAGGGAAGAGACGGAGTGGCAAGTAGGTATCCCGCAACCGGTGTGGAATGAGGCGCTTGAGGAGGCCTTGCGAACTGCACATGAAGGCACTTCTAGAATGTGTCGAATGTGGGTCGAAGAGATTTGTGAAAACTTAGACCAACCGGAATATGTAGCTGCAGCGGCGAGTTTGCTCCGTCAGGCTGAGCACGAGTATCAGTGGTTAGAGAGCTGCCTGCAAGAACATACTCCTGAGGGTGAGATCTCGGTTAAGGCTTTGCAAGTAGAGGCTCCCATAGGGGATGAGCCTACAACGGATCAATTCTTGCAGACGCGCACTGTCGGACTCGCTGAAGCTAGGAAGGAACTTAACATGTGGCGAGAGCCTGCAAAGGATGAGATTATGAGCTTAGAAACTACCAATCGGGCCGTTGATCGGGTTGTAGCCTCCGAAGTAGACCAGTGGATCGCTGAGGGAATTTCGGTAGTCCAACTTCCAGGAAAGGTAGTGTTGACTAGGAAGGCTGGTGTCGGGAAAAGAAGGTGCAGAGCAGTGTGTTGCGGGAATTACCTCCCGACGGACAAGCTTGGGCTAACACGAGAAGAGCTGTACGCATCAGGGGCGGAATCAGTTTCAGTTAAGGTTGCTCTGACGTATGCCGCAAGAAATCCGAGTTGGGTAGGGGTGACAATCGACGTAAAATCTGATTTCTTGTATGCGCCTATCAGGACCGAACATCAGGGGAAGCAAGAAAGGATTGTAGTCAAGCCACCACATTTTCTAGTCGAGTTGGGATTGCTGACTGCCCAGGACCGTTGGTGGATAAGGAAGGCGTTGTATGGGCTTCCCACTTCCCCCAGGGATTGGGGTAAGTATCGGGATTCTGAATTTAAGGAGTTCCGTATGCAATGGGAGGGTGAATCGTACTGCCTGATCCAAACCAAAACTGATGATGCCTTGTGGGTAGTTCGCACTTGGAAGGACGGAGTGCTGGGTCCGATTCAGGGCATTTTGGTAGTGTATGTCGATGATTTAGCTTTCCTAGGGCCGAAGGGGCTATGTGAGAGCTTCATATCGTCGGTAAAAGGAAGGTGGAAAACCTCCGAGCCCGAGTGGCTGGGGATGACGCCGGTGACTTTCTGCGGGATTGAGTTAGTCTTACGCCCGAACGGGTACCAGTTGTCGCAAAAGTCATACATTACTGAATTGCTCAATCGCTATCATGTAACGGAAGGTGCCTTAGTCCCACTGTCGAAGTGGTCCGAGCCTGAAGCTGGTGAAGATGTGACTGCGGAGGCGGTTAAGGCTGCTCAGGGTATTACAGGCGCGTTGTTGTGGGTCTCAACGAAAACAAGACCCGACATCTCTTATGCCGTGGCACGCTGTGGGCAACAGGCGACGCAGAATCCTTCTTTAGTCAATGATCTGGGGAGGCAAACGTTAGGGTACTTGAAGACAACGATCGATGTGGTGATGGAGATTCCATTCTCAGTTGGCAGCCCTTTTGCAGAGCATGGATGGTTGTCAATCCCCCGCACCGACGAGGTTATCGAATTGTACACTGACGCTTCACACAGCCCTGGAGGAGAGCGATCAGTACAGGCGTTGGTTGTCGCGTGGCGCGGCGTACCAATTGCCTGGGAGAGCACCAGGCAACCGTTCGTAACACTTAGCTCTGCAGAGGCAGAGCTGGTGTGTATGCTACACGGCGTTCAGGTCGCCGAATCGATCCAACCACTCTTGGAAGAACTCCTAGAGGCCGACACGGTTGTCGCCCTTCTGGGCGACAACGAAGCAGCTATCAAATCCTTCCAATCGTCGAGCGGCTGGCGTAACCGCCACTTAAAGATGAGGGCTTCGGCTGGCCGCGAGAGGGTAGAAGCCAACCTTTTGCGCATCAGCCATTTACCAGGCGTATGGCAGGTGGCAGACCTTTTAACAAAACCGCTCCCGAAGTCCAGGATTTTCCACCTCTTAGAACTGATCAATATCCGTGTTCCTACTGCAAGTACGGAGGCCGTTCAGGCAGCAAGGGTTTTGAGCAGAGTATCCTGGGGTTCGGAGCTTGAAGGGATGATTACTGCGGAAGCGGTAGCCGGGTTGGCGCTTTTAACTTTGGTTCCCACGGCGGCCGGGCAGCCCAACGGGCTTGTGGGGGAGCAAGTTTGGGATCTGTGTCAATGGTTGTTTGGGGTGCTACTGGTTATAATTTGCGTAGTCATAGGCGGTTTCGGGCTCTCGGTCTTGAGTGTAAGTGGGTGGTACCCGGGGTGTTGGTTAGGCGGTCATGATGCTGAGTCTGTGGTCTCTGGACTGGGCAACCTAGGGTCCTTGTCGGAACCGGGGGTAGCCGATGATGTCGTTGACGAGTTTGAGGCTTTAGAGTCCGAGACTGGGGTTGAGGCATCGGAAGACGAGGCTTCAGAGAAGGACCAGCCGGACGAAACCCATGGGGCTTCCACTCAAGGGTCTGATGAGGAGTTTGATTCGGTTGAATGGAGCCGGGCCCAGGAGAAACTGATTGCGATTGAACGGAGTACCGGGCTTACCTTTGTACAACGGGCGAAGCTTAGGAAACAGTTAGCACAAGGTGACCTGGTAGACCCCCCGGTCTTCCAGCAGCGGTATGGGACCCTCCCTGAGTGGCTTAGTGGAGTGAGTATGCCGTTTCCTAGCCCCTCAACATCGGAGAAGTTGGCGTCTTTCTTTGCGGTGATGTGTCGGGTAGTTACCAGCTTTCTGGGAGTACCGGGAGTAGAGTGGGGCAGGCTTCGAGGAGTTTGCCGCCGACTTCGGGATTCCGCTGCAATCACTCTTACTGCGAGGCTGAGGGGTGCTGGTGTAGAGGCTGTGACGAACACCGGACAAGCTGTAGCTGCGCGGGTGAATGCTTTGTCTGTGCCGCAGATTGGGATCCAGCAGGGCTCTGAGGAAGTTCCGAGCAGTTCCAACGCTGGTGATGGTGCTAGGTCCTCGAGTGATGGGTTTGAGGTTAGTGCCAGGGTTGTAAGTAAGGAAGGTTTAGGATCTTCGTGTAGTGCAGCCATGTCTCTGGAGTCAGATCGTGAATCTGGTGGTTCGGAAGAGTCTGAGACGAGCCAAGGTGAGCCTGGTTCCCCTGGGGTTTTACATGGGATTGGGACTAGGCCTGAGGTTGGGGCGATTCCGGTTCCGAATGTTCAGATCGGGGGGAGCAGTGGCAGCCATGCTATGCAGGCTATTCCTCCAGCTGGGGTTGTGTACGAAGATTACTTAGATGAGCCTCCCGAGGTATCCCAGTTTCCGATTGTTGGGTCCTGGCTTCCATTGCATTATTTAGTCCAGCTTCTATCGGTACAGGGGCCTCGTATTCTGTGGTTTGTAGGGCATAGGTCACCAGATTGGTTGTTGCTTAGGGCTGCGTCTGCATACTTTAAGTTTGCGGTAGCTGCGTCAGTTGCCGAAGTGTTGAGGCTTAGCTCCTTCGCGCTCTTTTTTCAAGGTCCCCAGTGGCTCCACTACCAACGAGCCACAGGTCCTCAGGGGTAGTCTCGAGGGCCTTGCAGACATGGGCTACATCGCCGTGCTTCAACACACGGGATCCTAAGGAGCCCATAGACTCAGAACCTCGACTCTCAGACCCAGGCGACCCTTCGGGTCCAGAACCCGGCTTCGGAACTACAAGCGCGGCCGGCTCAGGTCTCTCAGGCTGGCTCAGAACACGGCGTTCGGAAGAAGAGGGCTCCGAAGAGCCTCGCCCCGGACAGGAAAACCTCATCGCCATCACTGTGGCGCTTCCTCCCGACTCGGCCTCTGACTCTGGCTCTGTCAAGGAGCGTCCCTTTCCAGGCTGTCCCTTCTTCTTTTTCTTCTGCTTCTTGCCTTTGTCCTTTCCCTTGTCGCCTTTTCCTCTGTCGCCCTTGCCCTTCTCGGAACCACGGGCCAGATCCCTTGGGAGTCTGGTCGCCTTTGCCTTTCGGCTTTCCTTTGTCTCCTTTCCCTCTGCCCTTCGGAGCACCACCGCGTTCTTCCTTCTGGCGCTGCCAACACTTGTCGGCTGTGTGTCCCTTCTTCCCGCAGTAGTCGCAAAGCTTCTCCTGAAGGCTCGGCCCGAAGACCCAGGGGCCTCACACAGTCGCAGCTGCTCTTCGTAGTAGGTGAGCGTCTTCCGAAGGGCCTCCCAGTCGGAACTGGACCCGTGGAGAACCACGTACTGTCTCACTTCGGCGCTCAAACTCTGCAAAAGAACAGAGCAGCGGTCAGCCTCAGACAGCTTAAGCTCAGGAAAGTTGCTCAGCTTCGCTTCAGACTTCGAAAACGAATCCTCAAGATGTCGAATCAAGTCGGTGGGCCTCTTCATGTGCCCAACGTGCTGGTACAACTTCAAAGACTGTTCTCTCACGAAGACAGCTTCCATCCGTGACACGATGGAGTACTGAGAGGTAATCGTTCGAATCACCTCGTAGCCGCAGGCGCTCTGTCCCTGCCTCTTCGAGCAGGACCTCAAGAGCTCGCTTCCTCGCTCCCACTTGGCGAGGGACTGCGTCAAGTAGTAGAACAGCTTGGAGCTACGCGCTGCCGTCTCGGGATTCAAGTCAGCTTGCACAATCTCCGTTTTCACGGGGATACAGAGCTGCAGTTCCCGAACAAACGCTTCCTCCTGCAGGGCAAGCCAGGAACTCAGCGTCTCCATAAAGGAGTGCCAAGTCTCTACCTCCTTCATGCGCCCTTTCCCCATGCCCTGATGGTCTATCACCGGAAGGTTCGGCAGATACTTCTCTGCACGGCCTCCAGCACCAGAGTACCCAGAGGGAGAAGGAACTGCCGGAGGAACTGCCGAACTCGCGGCAGAACTGCTAGCGGGAGCAGTGCTCGGCTGGAAGGGGTCCCGAGTCTTGGCTTAGATGGGGCACTGGCAATTGCAGATGAGCAGACTGGTGTGCCGGCGAGTTCTGAAACTGTAGGGGTTCCAGAGGGAGCTGTAGGTTCCGATGATAGGCAGTTCGATGCTGCCTTCGCCTACGTACAGGCTGAGGAATCTCAGGGTTCAGCCGGCAGTGAAGAGATTGATGAAAGGCCTCACCGGGATCCGAGGCCCCCCGCAGGACCTTTTGCGCGACAAGTTTTTAGGGCTGAAGAGTCTGCCTCGGAGGAAGATTCTTCCTCTACCCAGGAACCTTCTATTGTAGATCAGAGCTCATCCACGAGCTCTGTTGAATGTGCTGTCGTAGACGCTGGTGCAAAGGAAGCATCTATTGCAGTGCAAGCTGGGGTTGGAGGTCCCTGTTACCAAGCCGCCGAAGGGGCTTTGATAGTAGTGTACGGGGATGATCGGTTAGTTGTTCCTCTTCAGGGGTGGACGGTTGAGGATGTTGCTAGCATCGTAGAAGGCTTGGAAACTGGAGATTGGAGCCTGTATCAGCAGCGAGTGCGCGGTCCCCTGGAAGTCGTAGCTAGTTCCGAAGGAGATGTTAGTGAGGAGACTGGAGGTCTCCCTAGGTTCTCTCTTGAGGATGGGGCTGTAAATGCCCCGCAGCGACGACTCTTGCGCCTTCGGAGTGCTCGGGCGGTAGGGAGGGCCATTCGTTTCGGGGTTTGTGTAGCGGTGATTTTGTGGGTCCTTGTGTATGTTTTTAGGGGTGTTCGAGCTGTCGATGTCAGTTTAGATGCCTGCGAAGCTGAGGTTTGTCCAGGCCTCGTCAGTCAGGCCTTACAGGTACGCTCCGAGATTCCAGAGGAGGTGAGCCTGGGTTGCGGTTGTGATGGATCTACGCTTTGGTGGATTCTTCAGGGAAGCCTGATAATCGCTGCCTGGGAAATCATGCGTTGCACCTGTGCTACCTGTAAAGGAAGGCGCAGGATTACTCGAGAAGCCAGCAGCCAAACTCCCCAGAGTTCGATAATCCCGATGCCGTTGAGGGAGGACGTACCCCATCGGGGTCGAATCCTTTTTTGCCTTTGGCGGGCTGGCTTTAAGCTAGATGTAGAGGAATACCCCGAAAGGATTCAGTCTGAGTTCCATAGTTTGATAGGCTCTTACCTGACTCGTGTTGAGGAAGGGCATGTTACCAGTTCGGGCTCCGATTGAATCCTGCAAGATGTAGGGGCGCAGATTCTTCATGTTGCCAAGAGGACAGCTTGAGTTTTGGGATGCTGTCTTCCGCCAATTGGGTGGATTGACGACAGCTGCGTAGGGAACACCGGGTAAGATAGGGTTTGTTCCCCCAACCAGTAGCGTTGGGTCTTTTAGAGTCCTTACTCGCTAAGTGAGTCGGTAGGATTTGGAGCGAATCAACCCTGTGTTTCGTGATAGTGTTTAAAAAGGGATGCCAAGGACTCGATCAGAATTCCCCTTTTAGAGGGAAGCTTCCTGATGGGAGCGATCGGAATGGAGTCCGGTGCTTAGATGCTTGGCTTTTGTCCCGAAGGTTCAGGCTGAAGTCACAGGATGCGGGATACAGCTGGGGTCACCGTGGTGCTGCATACTTAGCATTGCGCTTGTTTTCCGGAAGGGTTATCTCAATCCCGCCTTCTTTGTAAGTCGGGGGGAGGGGGAGTGCGTGAAACCAGTGATCCCTGAGTACAGATACCGACATTCTGACGACCACAGGCTGTTTTGGCTGTAAGGAAAAGGATCTGGAGGCCCATTCGGTGGGGTTTCTTTCATTCGTAAGCCAGTAAACTTTCTTGAAATTATCGGGTTCACATCATTCGGATTCTATACTTCACATACTAAACCCTAAATCCTAACCTCCCTTCATAACAACCCTAAATAACCCTAAACCCTAAAGCCTAACCTCCCTTCATAACAGGTTGTGCCGATCTGGGTTAGGTTGGGTTTCAAGCTTCGGTTCAAACTCTGAGGCAAGACCAACAGGGCCAAGTTGCAGAAGTTGTTTACTCAGTACATGGATGCCGGGGAGGATTGGGGCGAGTGTGAGCTCGTCTTGACATCCCAGCAGACCAATTCGAATGTGCAGAGAAACCAGTACAGGCTCATGACTCGCAAGGACCGACATTGACCTTTTTTTGCATGTTAACCCCTAAATGAGGCCTGGAACCCTAAAGCCCCAACCCTGAAACCTCAACCCCCAACTATGTGGCACTGTCTTTCAGGATCTCCTCGACAAATACAAGAACGAAACGATCGTCGACAGCATTATTCAGCGCGCCGGGTGAAAGATCTTCTTTTAGCCCTGTTTCCAGGAGCTTCGGTGCTGGAGGTGCTGGGATGCAAGCACCGAGATGGATGAGGATGTCAACCGGCAAAGTGCTACACGGGAGCGAGCTGCTGGAGCCGGGCCAGCCTCGTCGGGCTTGGCAGCCGCCGGCGGTGCCGATGGCGGTGCAGGACCTCCGGGTGAAAACAAGGAGACGAAGGAGAAGAAAGAGAAGAAGGAGAAGAAGGAGCCGAAAAAAAAGACTGTGGAACAGCAAGCAAAGTCAGTGCTTCGTACGCATTACGATGCATCGTTTAAAACCGTTTAGTTGTAATATATTGTATGATGAACTATGTACGTACTGGTTGGGTTGACTAAACATCACTACCAGGCTATGGCCCTGGTCAACGGCAATCTTCTCGAGATCCAAAGCTTTGAGTACAAGCTCAAGAAGAACAACGTGTGGCTTGGCATAAGCCTGGAATCATTTTATTAGACTTCATCAGCTAGATAAGATCATCAATATTCTTGGTTACAACACCCAATGTATCTCAGGGATGCACACCTGGTGATGGCACTCGTGCAGAGCATGAACTCTCAGGCGGAGACACTCCGTGACGCGCGAGGACGCCTGGAGGCCAGAGGCTAATGCGAAATCTTATAATTTAATCCTAAACCCTACACCCCTAAACCCTACACCCCTAAACCCTACACCCCTAAACCCTAAACCCTAAAATGGTGGACACCTCGACTGAAGCCCGGTCCAGCTATACTCCGAAAGCCTGATCAATCCGCTGCCCAATCACCCGGAAACCAAAAGCCAGCAAACCTCAACTCGGTACACACCCCTAAACCTCAACCTGTACTGCTGCACGACAACCCGTAAGCTTTATCCTTTAACTACATCGTCGTCAAACTACTACACGATTAAACGCCCAGCCCGAACCACAAACCCAATAATCTGAAGCCCAGCTAATATATAATACCCTTTCCAAGGCCGCTTTGGCATGCGGTGCTGCCTCGGAAGACCTCGAGCCCCTCGTGTATCAGCTTAATTTTTCCAATGATACCTACAAGGAGGCAAGCAAGCATGTACGCCTCCACCTTCAGGCACCGAAACCCAAAGGGACCTCGAAGGCAAAGGCCAAGGCTAAGACCCCTGCTAAGAAGTAGTGTCTTAGTGGTATGGTGGGCTGCAGCTTAAAGGTTCCAAGTCGGGTGCCATTTTGATGTCATGCGGCCTTAGCCTGAGCTTTGGGGGTTCATCGATCTTTATTCCCAGCGAGGGAATTTTAAAACCTTCCGCAGCTTGATCGGGAGAGTGTGTCGGGGTACCCCTAGGATGTTTAGTCTAGAGCCGGGATGAATGCACATATAGCAGTTCTAGATCCTGCATTGGGTCCCTAGCCTAGCTGCACCTCTACAGACACGATGTAGCATCGAGGGGTGGTTGTTCAAACTCGGGAGCCTGATCTGCCGGCTGCACGTGGATCATCAATCACGACGAGGCTAGAAAAAGAGTGAGCTACTTTCCCAAAATCCCTAAACCCTAATATACCCATAGTCTCCATATGTAGTTCCTTTAGGTTAACCAAAATCTCTATCATAGGATCCTAACCATAAAACTGGTTAACCCAAAAAAAGGAACTACAATGGAGACTATAGGTACGGTATTAGAAGATTCTTCATAAGATGCAAGGCTCCCCTGCCCTAGTCCGACCTCGCCCCAAACAGCAGTAGTTCCTGGCCCCACTAGAACCCACATCGCCCGCCTCTGCATTCAAAGCACCCAGGTTCGCAGGCATCGCGCACCTCAAACGAAAGTGGCCCCAGCTTGAACACGAAATCCTAGCAACCATATAATAATATCATTATTAATAGTGCACTTAGGGCTCTGTATAATAAGCTTCAGGTTTTAGGGTTTCTGGTTTAGGGTTTCCTTGAATTAGGGGCTGAGGGGTTTAGGGATCGGCTTTAGGAATCAAGTCCGAGATCTACAGCTGCAGGTCTATCAAAAATAGCATATTCGTCCAACGGCCAAGAAAGCCCAGACCCAAGCCCCTCAACCTAATCCTTATGTCGTGGCCCAGACCCCATGTACCCAAACTGCAAGCCAAGCCAAAAGCCTGGACCCTGATTCCTACCCTAAGCCAAAGCGCCTGGACTGCCTGGACTTGTGTGTAAATTTTTCTTGCGTGCATGAATGGTCTAGGATCGGCTGGTGTTTCAGTTTAGGGTTTCGGGCTTAGGCTCCGATGTGATTGCATGACTAGCGGATTCGGCTTTTGGGTCGAAGGGCTTATTAGTGATCGGTTTGCATTCGAATCGGCTATCTATATATATATATATATGTATATATATAATAATAATATTAATAATAATATTATATATATATAGATAGCCGATTCGAACACTCAAGCCCAAACCCCAGCTTCAGCCCCAACCAGGTAACCACCTGAAAACCAGTATCCAAAGAGCCCCGAAAAGCCCAGACCCGAGACTCCGCAAGTTAGCTTGCTTCCTAGCCGGGACCCCATGTACTGAAATCCCAACTTTAAAGCTTTAGCCCGGCCCGGACATAAACCCAAGGCCTAAACCCTGAGCCCAGCCTATGCCAAAGTGCCTAAACCTATCCACAAAACCCACAATCCAATGAGTGCTGAGCTTCAGCCTTCTCGCAGGACCTCACCTGGACGGCTTCGGTGGGAGTTGCTTTGCTCTCGAAACCGGGGGCCGGAATGCCGTTAAGTATCGATCGAAATGCTCATGTAGTTACGCTTGCTTGGCTGGATCGGAGACGGTGGCGACGGAAGCTACACAATAAAGTGGGCAGCCTCTGGCTCGACGAGGATCCCGATCGTCAGCATTACATAGACTGGGCAGCAATATCAAACTTGGGAGATTGCTGCCATCGCTCAGAGGAGCTGTGGCTGGAGATACAAGAGCGAGTGGGGCATACGGTCTTGCTTGCAGATTATTCCGAACAGTGCTATCGTGCGCTCCGGTTCATGTACAGCCCTGTAGCAGTGAAGCTAGACGAAATGGATTAAGAGCAGATGCAAAAACAGTGTTGAGTCTACCGTTGCAGTACCCAATGCCTGCAGACCCCAAACCCTAATCGTATACCAACCCAAAACTCTTAAACCAAGACGACAAACTACAACCTCGGGTAGCATACCTTACCTCGCAACCTTACGGCCCCTAAACCAATGCATCTACAAGCCGAGTTTTCAAGTAAGGAAAGACCTAACAACAATCATAACCCTTAATCTCAAAACCCGAAATCAAAACCTATCAGAGAACTCGCTGATCTCCCAAACCGACGTCGAAACGAACCTCGCCCCCCTTCGCAGATGAAGAGACTGCCTTCGCCGACCATATGCTCGCCACTCTGGGCCGCGGTGACGCCTGGCAGGATAATTCGCATAAGGCTATAGCTATAATTATATAATAATATATAATATCGTGCTTCCGGGTTAGCGGCTTTAGAGAGCAAACCGAGGCCACTTCAGTGGCCGAGATGCAGAAGGCAGCAGCAGCGATGGTGAAGGAGAGTCGTGGCAATATGCAGCTCAGCCACGAAGATGATGGCAAGAGCTGGCACTTCGGGGAAACACCCCAACAACATAGAGCGAGATATCATGAGACATTTGGGGCTGCCACTCCCGATTCATTGGATCACTGTGCCGGTGTTGTCAGCGAGAGACCGAAAGACTCGGTCGGAGCTGCGGCTTCCCTACTTGATGCCCCACGAGCTGGTGCACTACCTTCATGCGACTCGACAGAACAGTACATGGATCGAATTCAGTTTATTACTATTGTTATTAAGTCTAGGATACCCAGAAACCTGAGAATAAAAAGGCATCTCTTTTTATAATTGGTAGGTATTTTATAAGGAACCTAGGACTACAAAAAGGGAATAAGGGTACTACTGGGCATCCTAATCATCGATGTCTTGACCAGAGTTTAGCCGATTGGGTTCAACTCTTCAGGAGACGCAGCAAGTGCAGATCATGCAGGAGTCGGTGAATGAGTTCTGGGCACATGCTGCCCAGCACACCGATTGGGCTGCCCATCATGAGGGCTTCGGGACTATGCCGCTGGGTCTCCACGGCGACGACGGCCGTTACAATATGGCTTCAGACAAGGTGATACTTGTAACGCTGAACTTTGTCTTGGGGAGAGATGTGAGTCGACACCCAGCTGAAACTAATTTGATGGTTGCAGATTAGCGCTAGGGTCCGAGCACTACTAGCTAGCATTAATCTCGACAATTACTAGATCCTAGATCTATGAGACATGATAAGCTGGGTTCCACCCCTGTCTTATATCCGGCAAGGCGGCCTCCAGATGCGATACCCGCTGATGAATCTTCGCGAATTCATCTGCCTGGGCCCAGAGACACTCAACCCCGTCATGGAGGTGCTGTCATGGAGTTTCGGCCAACTTGCAGCCGGCTACCACCCTCAACATGATATGCACGGAAATCCATACCAAGGGAAGTTCACTGCTGGCTCTGCGATCGCAGGCCTCAACGTCCCAGCTAAAACCGGCTCCATGTCGTGGCCTGAAGCTAAAAGGGGATCTAGTTTGGCCGGTTCGGATGGAGTGTTTTGGGTATGGGTTATCTAATCCGAAGTCCCGTCAGGAGGGCGACACTACCTCATCGAGATGCGGGGGGACTGGAAGTGGCAGAAAGCCTTCTTCTGCCTCAAGCCGAGCTGGCAGTCTGTGAACATATGTCATATATGCGATGCCCAAAGTCGAGGCGATCGTGCGTGCCTGGTTTGCAATCAGCCCAAACGATACAACCCCGATCTTCCCTAGAACTGCTCTGTTTTGGGTGAAACAAGATACGCCAAAACCAAAGGTGGAAGAGTTCACTCACCCGCGGCTTCCAAAGACGAGACCCTGTGGATGTGATTCTGTCGCAGATGAGGCCTGTGATCCAAAGTAATAAGCTTAAGCTTACTGGGCCCCCTTCACAAGCCTCGAGAACCCTCAAGTATGTATCCGATACAACCAAATTAAAGCCCGAACTCTCCATCTAAGCTTGCTGCACTGCCACTATACCCTTTCTGCCCTAAACCGTATGAACCCTAAGCCCCTTCTGCCCTAAACCGTATGAACCCTAAACCCCTTCTGCCCTAAACCGTCTAAACCCTAAACCTTTTTTTGGTCTCCCGCTTGGCAACCCAATCTGCAATCCCTGCCAGCCGCCCCGCGAATCCTTTGATTCTGGTACCCGGCTTCCGGCCGGAGTTCATCCGCATTTGCGCCATGCACACATTACACCTGGGTGTTTTGCAGCTGCTGAATGGGTCCATCTTCACACTTCTAGAAGAGCTCAGCCACGTGGCTTAACTTCGTCATGTCTCTCCAGGGTTTTGGTGTGAAGGTTCGTACGAGGCCCCCCTCAAGCTGACAAGGCTGGTTCCGTGCTGATGACGCTGGGCCGAGTATCAGGCTCCCAGAAAAAATGATCCTGCTGTGCTCTCGCTTCAAGAGCTGGGCGAGCGCCAATCAGCTCAAGCGACTCGACTTGACATTCAGTAATATTTTCAATAAGGAAGAATACCCTATAAGTCTTTGCGGTCTTCAATAACCCGCACAACGCTTCGGAACCCAAAGCTGAATTCGGCAATTGCAAGGCATTCGCAGGCGACGATGACATCTGGGATGTTGGGGTTCGAGGGAGGGGCTTACCCCTCATTGAACCTCAAAGCTTGGAATTCTCGGCTTTTTGTGGTCTTCTTCGAGGTCGTGTTGAAGGAGCTCGTTGCAAGGGACACGGCTGCAGGCAACGAGCTCTTATGCAAAGAGCTCAAACTGGCATCTGCTGCCACGACGGCGATGTGTGCCTTTCTGGCTGGCATGGAGGCATCGCCGCGATACATGAGCGATGAGCAGTGCCGCTACTTGCATGAATCCATGCAATCTTTTCTGGAACTCTACGAGGTGCTCATCGCTACATCGCTTGCTCGGGGTACAGCCCGCTGGAAGGCGGTGCCGAAACACCATTTGGCTTGGCATTTGGTCGAAGAGATGGACCGGTCGCACTACAACGTGCGATTTTACCATAGCTTTCTTGACGAGGACTATATTGGCCAATGGAAACTTCTAGCACAATCAGTGCCACGTGATCTTCTCGAGTACAGATGCTTGACGCGATATTTACTTCGTCTGGGCACGAAGGGCGGGATCTAATGGCTATTTGGTTGGGCAGTTTCGGCCGAGGAGCTCCCGGCTGCAAGCCTGTGCTACCCCCTGAACCTTATTGGCTACTTAAACACCCCTATTATAAGCAGCAAGCTATATATAATTAGTGGCCCTTAACCATAGCACGGCCCAGCTTGGACTCCGGACAGTGTCAGATCGCGATCTTCAGTCGCGCGCATGGCGGCCGAAAGGAGTGCTTCAAAGGGTTAAGGGTTAGGATTTAGCCTTGAAACTATGCCTAAACGCCCTCAACAAGCTAATCCCTGCGACCTCTAACCCAAAACCCTGCAGCGTGAAGCCAAGCTAATCCGTGCGACCTCAAACCCCGAACGCTGCTTTAAATCGAGGCTATAGGCCCTCCAAGGTAATCGCCGCGACCTTAAACCCAAAACGCTGCTATAAACCGAGCCTAAAGGCCCTCCAAGCTAATCCCTGCGACCTCAAACCCAAAACATGCTTTAAACCGAGCCTAGAGGCCCTCCAAGCTACTCCCTGGTACACAAAACGCTGCACCCTCAAGCCGAGCCTAAAGGCCCTCCAAGCTAATCCCTGCGACCTCAAACCCAAAACGCTGCTTTAAACCGAGAGCCTTAATAGGCTCAGGTAATCCCTGCGACCTCAAACCCAAAACGCTGCTTTCAACCAAGCCTTAAAGGCCCTCCAAGCTAATCCTGCGACCTCTAACCCAAAACGCTGTACCCTTAAACCGAGCCCAAAAACCCGCCAAGCTAATCCTTGCGACCTCAAACCCAAAACGCTGCTTCAAACCCAGCCTAAATTCATTCAAAGGCCCTCCATCTCTGCGACCTCAAACCCTGAGCCCTCAAACCGAGCCGAAAGGCTCTCCTTCCCTTAAAACGCTTCAGGGGTTCAAGGGATTTTCGGAGTTAGGGGAATTCGGCTTCGCAGGTTTGCGGCTTCTGGGGTTTGGTTCGGGGGATTTTCGGAGTAAGGCCTCATTCGGTGTACTGGTTTGGGGTTTGGATTTTCGGAGTAAGGCCTCATTCGGTGTACTGGTTTGGGGTCTGGGGGTTAAACGTCGAGAACTGGGGCCTCTGGGTTTGTTCGAGGAACCCTCGAGCCGTCAAGATGTATATATACATATATATATATATATTATATTATATATATATATATTATACACATATATATATATATATATATTATGATATATATATATATATATATATATATATATGTACAAGGAGCTCCGCTGTTTGATGGATATGACTTCGTTTTTTGTGTGCTTAGGCCATGATTATAATCCAGGCCCCAATATTTGTCTACATTACGCAATGACCTTCAATATTGGGGCCTTTGGATCCGGAGGGTGTGTCTGTGTCTGTGTGTGTGTGTGTGTCTGTGTCTGTGTCTGTGTCTGTGTCTGTGTCTGTGTCTGTGTCTGTGTCTGTGTCTGTGTCTGTGTCTGTGTCTGTGTCTGTGTCTGTGTCTGTGTCTGTGTCTGTGTCTGTGTCTGTGTCTGTGTCTGTGTCTGTGTCTGTGTCTGTGTCTCCTCTATTGTGTCTCTGTGTCTCTGTCTCTGTGTCTCTGTTCTGTGTATTGTGTGTGTGTGTGTGGGTGTGTGTTCTGTGTGTCTGTGTTTGTGTGTCTTGTGTGACTGTGTGGGTGTGTGTGCTTGTGTGTTTGTGTGTTGTGTGTGTGGTGTGTGTGTGTGTGGTTGTGTGTGTGTGTGTGTGTGTGTGTGTGTGTGTGTGTGTGTGTGTGTGTGTGTGTGTGTGTGTGTGTGTGTGTGTGTGTGTGTGTGTGTGTGTGTGTGTGTGTGTGTGTGTGTGTGTGTGTGTGTGTGTGTGTGTGTGTGTGTGTTGTGTGTGTGTGTGTGTGTGTGTGTGTGTGGTGTGTGTGTGTGTGTGTGTGTGTGTGTGTGTGTGTGTGTGTGTGTGTGTGTGTGTGTGTGTGTGTGTGTGTGTGTGTGTGTGTGTGTGTGTGTGTGTGTGTGTGTGTGTGTGTGTGTGTGTGTGTGTGTGTGTGTGTGTGATGTGTGTGTGTGTGGTGTGTCGTGTGTGTGTGTGTTGTGTGGTGTGTGTGTGGTGTGTGTGTGTGTGTGTGTTGTGTGTGTTGGTGTGTTTTCTTGTTTTTTTTTTGTTGGGTGGTTTTGTGTGTGTTGGTGCTGTGTGTGTTGTGTGTGTGTGTGTGTGGGTGTGTGTGCTGTGTGTGTGTGTATGTGTATGTATGTATGTATGTATGTATGTATGTATGTATGTGTGTGTGTGTGTGTGTGTGGGTGTGGGTGTGGGTGTGGGTGTGTGTGTGTGTGTGTGGGTGTGTGTGTGGGTGTGTGTGTGTGGGTGTGTGTGTGTGTTGGTGGTGGTGTGTGTGTGTGTTGGTGGTGTGTGTGTTGGTGGTGTGTGTGTGTGTGTGTGTGTGTTGGTGGTGTGTGTGTGTGTGTGTGTGTGTTGGTGGTGTGTGTGTGTGTGTGTGTGTGTGTGTGTTGGTGGTGTGTGTGTGTGTGTTTGTGTGTTGGTGGTGTGTGTGTGTGTGTGTGTGTTGGTGGTGTGTGTGTGTGTGTGTGTGGTGTGTGTGTTGGTGTGTTGTGTGACTGTGTGGGTGTTGTGTTTGTGTGTCGTGTGTGTGTGTGTGTGGATGGTGTGTGTGTGTGGTGTGTGTGTGTGTGTGTGTGTGTGTGTGTGTTGAGGGCGTTGTGTGTGGGGTGGTGGGGCGTGGGCCGTGGGCTGGGGGCAGGGGGACACAACTGGGCGTGTGTGGGAGGGAGGGGGGCGAGGGGGAGGGAGCGGCGATGTAGCGCGCGTGCGTGCGCGCACGCGCGTGCGCGCCGTGAGCGAGTGCGAGTAGTGAGAGTTAGTGAGAGTGGCGCGTGTTGGAGTGTTGTGCCGGGCGCGCGGGCGCGCGGGTGAGCGTGCTCGATTGGACGGCCGTGCGCGCGTGTGCGCATGTGCGCGTATGTGCGTGTGCGCGTGTGCGAGTGTGCGCGTGTGCGCGCGTGTGTGCGTGCGCGCGTGTGTGCGTGTGTGCGTGTGTGCGTGTGTGCGTGTGTGCGTGTGTGCGTGTGTGCGTGCGTGGTGTGTGTCCGTGTGGGTGTCCGTGTGGGTGTCCGTGTGGGTGTCCGTGTGGGTGTCCGTGTGGGTGTCCGTGTGGGTGTCCGTGTGGGTGTCCGTGTGGGTGTCCGTGTGGGTGTCCGTGTGGGTGTCCGTGTGGGTGTCCGTGTCCGTGTCTGTGTCTGTGCGTGTGTCTGTGTCTCTGTCTGTCTGTGTCTCTGTCTGTGTCTCTGTCTGTCTGTCTGTCTGTCTGTCTGTGCACCCAGAAACAATTTCGGAGTCTGTCAGTGAACTGCGCAGATTCATCAAGGCTTGCACGTCCCGGGCTGCGAGTACATCTTCAATGAGTCTTGAGTTATCCCATCGAACACATATCGCCGTAGAGTCAAGAACAGCACCGGGGCCATTTCCCAACACCGGGCATAAGCCGGGCTGAACGGTGCCATGGAACTTGGTACCATGGCACACGAGATCAGGCTGGGTGGGTGGACCATCTGTCCATCACCGCCCAGCACAAAAGCACGCAACACGCTCGCACGTCTTGGAATATCCAATGCAGCCTGTGGTTGCCACTGCAAGCAGCCGGACCTAGAGATTTTCACACTGAGCGAACTTGTTGGACGTGAGATGTCAGCATTGACATTGTAAGAAGACGCTTGTATCAGCGATCCGAACTACTCGAGCATTAAAGGAGGCTTCGCAACTCACTTGAACCAGTTGCCACAAGGGAAAGGCGGGATGTCCGGGAATGAGCACAAACTGCCCACACTGGCTTGACCACCTCGGCTGGCCAAACATGAACGCTTGGAGAGGCTCCCGCAGCTGCAAGGCATGTTAGGCACTAGCTCACTAACTTGCACCGGGACAGTCCTCCTTTTCACTAGCGTCGCCGAAAGATCTGCAAGCAATCCAAGAACAGGGGCCATCTCGGCAACTCGATGGTTTCTAGCAGACAGAAGTCACTCTCGACTTTCTCTTGAAACTCAAGAGAGAAGGATTGGCCGTGGTGAGAGATGCCGGGCGCGTAGGATCCGAAGGTGTTTGTTCTCCACTCGCCCACCAAAATCAGCTCTTCGCCTTCATATGCCTCCAAGCACTCCAGGCCATAGGTGCCCAAGCCCAAGTAGTCCGGCCACATCAAGACCAGGGTCCTCCCGGCCTGATGCTCTGACACCGCCCGAGGCGGTCTCCCCTCCAAGACCTCGCAGAACTTCGATCCGCCTCCGCCTCCTCCGCCTCCCAGCTCCAGCTCAGACTCCGAGTCGAAGGCCAGGATGTCCACCGACCGCTCTCGCAGCAAGGACGCCCAGTAGCCCTTGCCGGCCCCGACCTTCCGACTCGAGGCAACAAGAGGGGAGATCGAAGATGTGAGTGCGCTGAGAGTCTTAGAGGAATTTTTAGCATAAAGCGGACCTCCAACAAAGGCGCTTTTCGCTGCAAGGCCTCCAGGGCCTCCGCTGTTGGAAGGCTCCAGGCATACTTCTGGCGGAGGAAAACCTGCTCCGCTCCCATCCCACTCAGCTCCTCCGCCAAAACGGCCTCTGAGGAGAGGAACATGTCAGAGGCAAAGGGCAAGTCACCTGAGGTCCTACTACTGGGCCTACGTCGTGCGCCTCTGCATGCATCCATTGGGCCAGGAGCCAAGATCCCCATAGCTGCAACTTCTGCACGTAGATCTTAAGATACTCGGAACCCTCCTCTTCCCAAACCTTCGGCTGTTCCTGCGCATTTTCCAGCGTCCAGGACTGAGGCCAGGTGGCTGGAGCCAGACAGAGCTTCTGCATCTCGAGAGGCGAAGTTATGCCCACGACCCAGAGATTGATGAGGTGGCAGGCTTGCATTAAATGGCTAGCATCCAGACGGTCGAAGAGGCTCTTGCTAAGACTTGCCACGGATGAAACCTCTGCTCGCAGACGGTGGGAAGCTGCCTGCAGCCGGTGCAGCCAAGGCGTTTGGGCCTTCTGGCAATCCGGGCAATGCTCGCACTTCTCCTGGCAATCCGTTAAACGGCCCATGGCCTGCTGCACGCAACGAAGCTGCAGCCGCTCCACCTCCGCACGGGCTGCCAACAAGACCCGTCGCTCACCGTGGCGCTGCAAAAGCGCCAAGCGGCGAGCACGGGACAGAGAGCCACTCTGCAGCACCCGGCGATCCTCCAACTCACCGCCACGAAGTTCCTGCAGTTTGCCCTCCAAGAGTAGGGACACCAGGAGCAAAGCTCGCAACTCCTCTTTGGCTTGCGGGCCCCGCAAGCCCTGCAGACACGATGCAGATGCAGAGGGGTGGAGCGCGTCTCCCTGCAAGTGCTGAGCCCGAACCATACCCAGGAATGCTGGGGGCAGCGGCTTCTGCAGAGTGAGCGTGTGCCGGACGATCAGCTCTTGCAACCCTTCGAAGTCAGCCGCTGCTGGGCTGTGAAGCACCTCGTGGCCTCCGTCGGTACAAGCATCCAGGAGCCGCTGTTGCACCATCAGCTTGGCAGCAGAAACCTGAAGGGAGAGCGTGATCTGGGAGCTTTGAAGCGCCTCATCCTCAAGCAGAAACCCAAAGGACTGCAGCATTTGGCTGTTGAACATAGGCTGCGCGTAGTTGATGAACACCTGCTCGCCGGCAACCAGCCGTGCACCGGCCCTCATGACGACCATGTTCCGGTCCTTTTCCAACTTGAAAAGCCCAGGCGGCATCGAGGGCGAATGATTGAACATGTCGAGCCCTGGCACTATGGCGAAAATCGGGCTGCCATCGCTGACACTTAAGGACATGACCCTAGAGGAGTATATGCTCCAAGCCCACTGGTAGCTTGCGAAGCTCATGCTCTTTGCGAGAGTTGATGCTGCTGGTCCTGCATTTCGCAGGCTCTCGCAGAGTCGCGAGAAGTCCTCCGGAAGCTCCTCCTTGAGTCTCATGGCGTGAGTCTGCACCTCGCTTCCCTGCAGCTCGTCGAGGTCCTCACTTGCCCAGAAGTTCGGAAGGTTTACTTCTTCCAGTGGAGGCAGCTGCTGTAGATGGCAGGACTTTGGGCCCTCGCTTGCAACCATGAGATGTGCCAAGATGGCCTCCCTCTCGCTGAGGCCATGGCCATCGATTCCTAAGGCTACTCTTGCTCTTTCCGCCGTCCAGCAGTGCTTGAGTTCAACCTCGAACAGCACCTCACCCTCCTCCGTGTCGCGCAGGGCAGCCACGCCCCGGCCGGTCCCTTCGAAGTCTTTCAACTCCACCAAAGCTGAGCTCGCAAGCTCCATGAGGGGAGCACTTCTAGCCACTAATTCCGAAACTCTCTGCAAGATGCTTCAATGTTGACATGTGAATAGAGTCAAGATGCGTGCCTGAGACCAGTCGCGAGGCATCCGGATGGTTTTCAATTGAACAACAACTTTGTTCGCACTTCAAGGTCTGCCGTGGCTTGTTCTCTCTTGAGGCCTGCGGCGTCCCGAAGCGCTTCGTGACCGCTCCCTGCAGATGCTATGTGGTCTCCCCAGGGCTCAGTGCTGCGCCCTTGGGCGTGGAGACGGAAAAGCGGCGCTCGGTGCTGGCCAAGAGCTCCTCTGTCGTCACGCTTCTGAAGCTTTCAAGGCTTCGAAGCTAATTCGACGTCTAGGCATCGCAAGATATTGCAAGTAGGTTTGGACTCCGGACTTTGCTTCGGATCCTTCTGGCGCTTCGGTGTGGGCGGCAGCAAACCTTTGCTCTAGCAATCCAGGGCTGCCAGGGCTCCTCAAAGACTCAGCCGGCCCTTTTTTGCTTTTTGAGGCACGGACTGCTCCATGCAGCCACGCGCCAAATGTAGATCTTCCTGAATCCGATCATGCCGCATGTGCTCGCTCTCTCACCCCAGAACTGCAGGGCTGGCCTTGAGTCCAGGTGCCGCTCGTCACGGGTGCCCTGAACCTCCGGCGGGCTTTCGGCTTCCGACCGCGTCCCGATTCTTCCCAGGGCAGACATGCGATGCTGGGAGGCTGGGAGCTCCGCATTCCATTCGTCCCGATTCGAGAGCAGGTACATGGTGATGTAGATCGGCCTCGGAGCTGAGCAGCTGTGCTTTTTATCGGAGGACCCTGGACCGAGGACCAGGCGGGTGCGTCCCGATTTCGTTGAGCTTCACTTCCGGGATCACGCCCCGAGCTGGCCTTGTGCTGGGCTGCTGGGGCTTTCCCAGCAAGCCTTCAACCCAGCGACGAGCTCCCGGCACTCTCCAGCCAACGGCATCGACGAACTGAGCAATGCACCAAAAGCCTAAGGCCAAGCAGGGGCTGCCGTGCTTAGCAGCCCGGCCCGCGCTTTGCTGAGTCGCCAAAGGTGAAGGTGCGGCCCGGCTGGAAGTCCAGGCCCTGCATCACCTCAAAGCGCCAACAGCGACGGGGGCTGAAACTGGGGCTGGGGCGGCTGGGGCTGCAGTGCTTCAAACAAGGGCCTCCTGCATGCGCTTCCGGTCCAAAGCACGGATCGTGCCGTAGGAGGAGAAGTCTGGGTCCTAGGCCACAGTGCCAGAGTGGAGCACACTGCGCATGAGCGGCTCAAGCGCCCGTTTTGTCTCCATGTCAGAACTGCTTCACGTCAGACTGCATCAAAAGCGGTTGCGTCATGTCTGTGCAGCCCAGCCGAATTCCATAGCACTCTGTGCTGATCTTCGGGAACACTTCATGGCACCGACACATGGAGGGTGGCAGTTCTCAAAATTCTGCACAAGCGTCTCACATTCGGCCTTGTATTCGTAGGACGGAGGGCTCCTAAGGTTAGGTTAGAAAGCCACTGGCTGCCTGTGCGACAGTGCAGGACACTTTGCAGGACCGCTCGAGGGGCTCCCAAGACCATTTACCAGTGTCAGGCGGCAGACCGATGTTTGGGGAGCGAATGTTTGTTCGGCTTGTTTTCGTGTTGGCCTGGGTAGTTCAAACCATGTTGATCCGGGTCATCTTTAGTGCTGATTCTGGTCTTTTCATCTGCGCATCCCTTGCTGCAGCTGTATTTTCCGCTTCAGGTACGTGTATTTCCTCCCCGCTTGGTCAAAACCACATGGATCTTGTTAATCTGGGTCTTTTTCGTGTTGATTCTAGTCTTTTGATGTACGCTTTGCGTGCCGCAACAGCAAATCTCTGCAGAGGGCTGCAAAACAGATATCTTGGCCAGAGATTGTTTTTGGTGCACTATCCAGCAAATCTCTGCAGAGGGCTTCAAAACAGATATCTTGGCTAGAGATTGCTTTTGGTGTCTTTGGCACCAGGTCACTAAGTTTTTGTGGCTTATGAACTCCTGCTGATTAGGGTTGCCGGCTTCGGTCAAGGGTTTCTGCTGGATTCGCTCTTTAGGTTTTTGTCTTCAGGAAAAGCTTCCTGCTAAATTCACTGCTTAACGTTTTCGCATTGGGTATTCACTCCTCAGGGTTTTCGTCTGGGGTAGAATTTCTTGCTGGATTCACTCATTAGGGTCTCCGTCTTCGGTCTAGGGCACTCCTGAGAGTTTTCGGCTTAAGGAAACGGTTTCGGCTGGATTCGTTCCTTAGGGCCTTTGGGTTTTCGTCTTGACAGTTCACTCCTTAAGTAATTTTTCTTGCGTATTCACCCCTTGAGTTTCTCCTATGTCCAAGGGACGGACGCGCGGGCGGGCGGCCGGCCGGCCGGGACGGGACGGGACCGGGCCGGACGGACAGGAGAGCGGATGGACGGGAGACGCGGCCATCAAGAACTCTTTTCCAATGTCCGACTACGGTTTCGATGACACGAAATACTGCAGATATCATCTTTCGGTGTGACGGAATCTTTTTCCTGCTGGATTCACTCCTTAGATTTTGGGATCTTCGGTCAAGGATTCCTGCTGGATTCACTCCTTAGGGCTTTCGTTTTCGGTCAAGGGTCCCTGCTGGATTCACTTTCAGGTTTTTCGTCTTCGGGAAACGGCGTCGGCTGGATTCTCTCCTTAAGGCTTTCGTCTTGGGAGTTCACTCCTTAGGGTTGTCGTCTTGGGCATTGACTCCTGAAGGCTTTCGTCTTGGGTTTGTGTTTCTTGCTGGATTCAATCTTCAAAGTCTTCATCTTCGGTCACAGGATCCTGGTGGATTCACACCTTAGGGTTTTTGCCTTCGGTACTCACTTCTTAGGGTTTTCGTCTTCGGGATTCACTCCTTAGGGTTTCGTCTTGGGTTACAGTTTCTTGCTGGTCTCACTCGAGGCACGGCCTTCGTTTATCGATGTCCGGCAACGGTTTCGATGACACAAAAAATCTTTAGATATCATTTTTCCATGCAACAGAGTACTAGAGTTCTCGTCTTCGCTAAAGGGTTCCTGCTGGACTCACTCCTGAAGGGTTTTCGTCTTCGGGAAACGGCGTCGGCTGGATTCTCTCCTGAAGGTTTTCGCCTTGGGGATTCACTCCTTCTCGGGCGTTGACTCCTTAGGGTTTTCGTCTTGGACTTGAGTTTTTTGCTGGATTCACTCCTTAGGGTTTTCGTCTACGGGAAACGGTTTCGGCTGTTCACTACTTAGGGTTTTCGTCCAACACTCTTGGCTGTGCTATTACGGTACAGACAAACAGAAAAAGACCAGAATCATGATAAAAGGACAGGCCCAGATCAGCACCAAAAAAAAGGAACTACTTTCCGATTTTTGGTCAGGGCTTTGGACTTAGCAAAGGCAAAGGTGTCAAAGGGTCCCTCACGAGCCGACGCCGCGACGCCATCTGACAGCGGCTGCATCGTGGAAAGTGTCGTTCAAGGATCTTGCATGGGCTCGAGCTTACGCAATGTCGATGTTTTAAAGCGGCCGTGGTGGCCAAACACACGCCGTAAGCAACATTGCGTTTATTGATTGCAAACCGCATGCAGCTGAAGAGCAAACTTCGAACAAGCGAGCTCCGCCCATAAACACATGTCGTAGGCGCCCTACTCGTGAGGGCCACTGGCATCACTTTGGTCACTCGGTCGAGCATGTGATGCGACTATACTCATTGGATTTGATGCAAATGGTGATGGCGCTCGACCATCGCTGGCCTGACATTCAAGCATCGAGAAGGGACAGGAGACAGTGGACCTATGCGTGGTGAGCAATTCAACAGCTTTGTGGAGGACTGGCTACGAGGCTGCGAATCTTGTTCGATACGATGAACGGAAATCACTTTGCAATCTATGGCTGTGAACATAGGCCTGTGAGACTCGACTGGGGATCTCCACCGAACCGAACCACTGCCACATGTAGGCGAGCTATGGCTAGCTGCCACGTCAGGCGTCTGGCGTTCCCAGCCCCCCCACCCAATGGTATGGTCTGATAGGGGTGGGCCTGGCGTGTGCGGAAACGGGTTGGGGGCCGTTGCAGCTGCCACTGGATTGTGGGGTCGTGCTGGCGGCCAGGGCTCACGCGCAAGCCCTTCGCAAGCAAGCCGTAAACCCTATAACGCAGCGCGTGCCCCTGTTTTACGTTAACTTGTATTCAAAATGCGACACTCAACCCTAAACCCCACCTAACTGCAGGCTCTAAGCCTAAAGCAGAGCATAATTACACCGCAAATCCTCCCTAAGCCCTTGTCGACTCGAAGCCTTATACCTTGTAACCGTAAACCCAAAACTCAAAAGCTTAAGCTAAACCCTAAACCCCAAAACCCCGCAACCACCCTACGGGGAAGAGGAACCCCACACCCCACACCACAGGGGAGGAGGGGCCCCACCCCATATCCGGACCATGACCGCGTGAGGGCCGCCACACCCCCCCACATGAGATGTGACCTGGACGTGTATCCCCTCGCTAGGCGTACAGGAACACAGGCACTCAGGTGTCTCTTTTCCTACAGGCGCACAGCTGTAGTCCACTGCACTAGAACCTTGAGCAACAGGCATGGATACATGCAAGTGATACGTGAAACAAACAGGCACCTGGATGTGTAATTCAGTGTTTCAACCAGGCACAAATTTAAAACACGTAGAACTGCATGTCCGTGGAGTCGGCATTCTACTAGCCTGTTATTGCTCTCGGTCGAATTAGCGGAGTATTGAGCTACATCTGCGATTTGAAGAGAAACTATACATTCTCTAGCCTGGAGACAGCTTCATGAAAAGAGCAGAACACGCACGAAACGCAAACGGATCTTCACTGAAAACTTTTGCTTGAAAGTTGCCCACTTGTGTTCTTCAGCTCCCTCTCCAGATGGAAAGCATACTGCAACATAAAGGTGTAGAGCTTCGCTCCACTTGATGCCAGCATGACATCTTGCGGCAAGGCAAATTGTATCTGTATAAGGGCATTGGAAGTATCTTATC